TGGATGGATGGATGGATGGATGGATGGATGGATGGATGGATGGATGGATGGATGGATGGATGGATGGATGGAAATTTTTCACATCTGTTATAGTGAAAGAAGGTGCTGAGTCACAAAGCAATGCTCCAATTTAATACTGTCTTTGTAGAACAAGAAATCATTCAAAAAGCTTCCTGGATGGGAAGCAAAACATCTTCAAATTTGGAGTCCAGTGGATTGTTTTTTTGTTTTTTTAAACTTTTTTGGAGGTACTACTCTGTCTAATATGACCTTCACTCCTGTGTGTGTGGCCAGGTTTTTGTTACCTTGTGGGGACAGTGTAAGACCAATTTCCAGGGATTATGCTACTTTGTGGGTACTTACAGGGAACTTGTGGGGACCAGTTGACTGATCCAGATGAGGGAAAGTTATCTTCTGGGTTTGGGGGTTAAGGTAAGGGATCAATTGAGTTTTAGTCACATTTTAATTTAAAACTGAATTCTACAAGATAACATGTAATCAGTGCAAAGAAATTAAAATCGGAGTGATGTGAGCACTTTGGTTAGTTATAGATGATACAGGGCTTTTTAGATACTGTATGTGTGTTACAGTAGTTTAGCTCAGAAAATAACCACCACAAGTTTCTATACTGATACCCACCATTTTGTTTAGATATATCGCTTAAATAATAAAGACAATTTTGGCCAAGTTTAATTGGAGACCTCTAAGGGACATCGATTGGTCATCAGGAACACCTAAATTCCTTAAGTAAACCTTGTATGGGAAAAAGATGGTTGAATGGAAGAATATATAAAAGGTGGAATCATTTTGACCATGTGCCTCCGTGTGTCTGTCAGAGAAAAAGAAAAATACACACAAGCAAACTCACAAATTCATCTCTCTAAAATTCACAAAAATTACTTTTATTAAGGGACAAGAAAAAACATACATGATGTATAAAAAATACAAAAATCGCTTTGTCTAGCTTAGCTAAGTAAATGCATAGCAACAGTACATGCAAGTCTAGGCTTAGGTAATCTACTGTGGTTTCCTACTACTTTATCAATTGTAAGCTATAAGATTAAACAGGGAGATGTATAGTTTAGCTGCAGTCTACCGGTCGATACAGTCTACATAATACAGATGCAAAGTGGTGATACAGTATAAGTTTGCACGCAACTCAGCTAATGAGCAAATAAATAGTTGCACAAAAAACGAAAAAAATCCATCTGAAACGGCTTTGAAGTCTCAGCATCACATTCCTAACAAAGAAACACTAACGGCGAAAATAATTCATAGTACAACATTTCTAAGCCAGGATACAAATAAATATGAATTAAATAAATAATGAAACTCGTATTTAAGAGCCGTCAGACCCTCCCGGCCCTTTTATGTACATATCAAACCCACAGCTCCAAACGGTCAACATTATGTGTAGGACATTTCATATTAGTGTTATTTATTTATTTTTTTATCATTTTTTTTTATTTTTAAGAATACCATAAAGATACATACAAATGGCCCGGACAAGCACAAGTGTCCATAGAAAACCTGCATTGATTTGACATTGGGTGAATTTCAATGTGCTTTGGCTTTCGATTGATAAATAAAGTATTATCAGGCTATACATCACAACACATTTGTGGTATATAAGAGGCAATAGCGTTTCAGCTTGTATAAAGACTTTTACCATAAACTGACTAAAAATGACAGAGTTTACTGACAGTGGTATTGCTGAAAGACTATAAACCGTTTTTCTTTTTGTATTTTTCTGTTTGGGTGTGATATTGTTATGCAAAGGCAATAATTCTCCTTTTCCTTTTATCTTTTTTAAACATACAAAAATAAGGTACAACTTCAGAGAAACTAATCCAAAAAAAAACAAAAAAAAACAACAACAAATAAGCAAAAGATTTACAGAGTTTTGTAAGGCCATGCAAACATTTTTTCCGAGACTCATGCATCAGGGTTATTTCAGGTCGTCTGGATGGGCGGGCTTCCCATCCATGCAGAATGCACTGTGTGTCACTGAGGCCACAATAAACATAGCTACTGTCCCTTTTTGTTTTTGTTTCCTTAATACCAATTTGAGATTAACGCTAGCACTTTCTGTAACACACAATTAAGGCTGGTGTACTTGCTGTTGAGACTGTGAATAGGCCTTATTTCAATGGAACCACATTTGGAAAGAGTTTTCTTAACAAAAACACACACACACATACATACATATATATATATAAAATCTCTTATAGGAGGGGGACGTCACTGTGAAAAGACAGGAAAACACAGGGGCTGCTGTACATGCGTGTGCTCCGTCATGTAAAGTGTCAATCGTTCCAAAGCAAACTTCTGAATGATTTAAAACAAGGACCTCTACTTTAAATAAATAAAATAACTCACACCAAAAGGTATACATTATTAAATCATTACATCAGTTAATTTAGTATTTCAACTCAAAAAGGGAAACTCATACATAGATTCATTCTATATTCATATAAAATTATAATAATGAAAATGGCTTAACGCTTCTAGCTATGAAAACCCAAAATTCAGTTTTTCAGAAATGCTCAATGTTAGAGGAGACTGTTAAAATTTTTTTTTTTTTTTATAGAGTCACTTATACTATTTATGATGTGGCAAGCCACAAACTACCTTTGCTAAATTAAATCTGCTGTTTACAGAAATCTGTAACTGAGCATATTAATGGGAAGTTAAATGAGGTAAAACATAAGGAATAATGCGGTCTTAGGACCAAACAAATTAGAAAGTTTAACATTTGTTTATTAAATTCTTTTCTTCAACACCAGAAGCGTCTTAACTGGGCTAAAAGAGGAAATACTGGAATGATCATAATCTATAAAAGATGAATTTGCCTTTTTCAAATTAAGGCAAAAGGTCTGAAGGAAGACGAAAGAGGCACAAAGTCCAATATGGTGGAGGGTCAGTGTTAAGTTTCAGCTGCAGAGGTGTCAAATAACAAAATACAAATACTTCATTACCTTACTTAAGTAGAAATTTTGGCTATCTAGACTTTACTAGAGTAATTATATTGGAGACAACTTTTTACTTCTGCTCCATACAATTTTTTGCAATTAACTCTACTTTTTACATTTAAAAAAATAGCCTTTTTAATTTTGTTTCATTTAAGCTTGTTTTCAACATGTTATGTTGGTATTTAAAAAAAACAAAAAAAACAACATCAAAACAATTTGTTTCATCCGGACAATTCATTTCTTTGTAGTTGGACTTAATGCACGAATTTGTTGTTCAAAATAAATGGCAAAATAAATAGTTTTTCAAGATGATGCAAAGTTAAATTTGACAGTTTTGCCATTAGTTATAAAACTAAGAAGTATGATGAAGTTATCGTCCAGAATTGTAGACAAATGTTCCTTTAATAAGCTCGTGCATTAATCAATCTGTCCTCAACATTCTTTTTTCATGCATTACTTTTACTTTTGTACTTTAAATAGTTTTAAAAAAAAATTACTTTTACAATTTTACTTGAGTAAAAAGCTGAAGTTGACACTAACTTCTAAAAAAAGTGTTTTTAAACAGTAGGATTTATACTTTTACTTGTGTAATAAACATTAATACTTTTGATATCTCTGTTCAGCAGACAGTGCTGATTTGGGTCTTCTGCTGATGGAGTCTTACAGGACATTTATATCATTTCAGGCTTTGCTCTGCTGGAAAACTTAACTTTCCACCTTAAATTGCGATGGCCACACTTTCAGTAAATACAGATATGGCTGTTTTAACACTGAGCTTGACTTTCCAGCCAACATGTCTGACTAAAAACTAGAAATAATAATTAGAGAAAAATGGGAAAGCAAAAGAGCAAACATTGAAAATATCAAAAAAATAAAATCAAGCTGCACTGATGCAAAAGTGTAGCAGAAGAAGTGCATGCTGTATTTTCTGTAAAACTATATTTTAGGTTTTCATTAGCTCTAAACCACAGCCTTTAAAATTTACAGAAACAAAGAACTGAAGAACATTTACCCTTGTGTTTAATGAATCTATTAAAAATATAAGTTTCACTTTTATTATTTATTTGCTAAAATGAATTAACTTTTCCCTAATATTCTACTTCATTGAGATGTGCCTGTATCAGGCATAAATATGTAAGCTTAGAAGATATCCACAGTGAGAATAGGTTCAGATCTTTAACATGTTGAGCCATAAATTTCAAGTAGCACCTTCTTTTTCCTGTAAATAAGCAGATGTATTGCGTTTTGGAAGAAAACCTGTTAAATGTACCAGCAAACTAGAGTTCCAGCATTTCATTTAAAGTAGATCAATAACACCACAGATGATGGTCCGTCATCAGCATGGTTAAAAGACACTGAATCCAAAAAAAACCCAAAAAATATACAGATAGAACATAGAAGTCCATAAATTACAGTTCAACCATAATAATAAACAATCCTCCAACGTTTTCCTGGAGAGGACAAAAGATGTTTGTAGCTGCTTTTTAATTGAAGGCAATCTGAGGCGACTTCTTTTTGTAAGTGCTCAAAAAAAAACAAAAAAACAAAAAACAAAAAAAAAAACAAAACAAAAAGAAATCCATCCCGAGATTTTTTTCAGAGCATTGCCAAATGGTAGGGGGTGCTTCACCAGCCTTCCCCCAACACCTCCCCACTGCTGGTTAGAGGTGCTGTCACACATAGCTTAGCAGGCTCAGTATTTTCCTCACCCGTAGGCGTTTTCTTTGCTTCCTCCTCCACATGGGATTTCTCCACCCCCACTTGACCCTCCTCTACCTCGACCTCCTCCTCCTCGTCTTCCTCCTCGTCCTCCTCCTCTTCCTCCTCCTCCTGTTGGTGCTGCTGCTGTCGCTGTTTCTTGCGGCAGCAGGGTTTGAACAAATGGGGGTCGATGAGCACCTCCCCAAAGCGGCCCTTGTAGATTATACCACAGCACACTTTTTGCCTGCAACAGACCGGGACACGTAGGGCCCAATCAGATTCTTTGAAGGAAACCAGCGCTGTTAATAATCTGTGTGTGTGTGTGTGTGTGAACATGCTGCAGTTAAAAATGTTACTGTGATAATCAGCTCCAATCTGTGTTTCTGTCAACTCCTACATTTATATAAGCAGCTTCAATGTCGAGTCCTTTTTGGTTTTTTACTAGAAACTTACATTTAGAAAAGTCCATCTACAGTTTTTTTGGGGGTTTTTTTTCCCCCATACTTTCAACCAAATTGTATATGACTAATTCTGAATCTACATTTAAAATTAATAGTTGAAACATGCACAAAATAGTTTAACCATCTCATCTATTAATTGGTTACTATATTAAGACAAAATAATATTTAGTTTTTTAAGTTAGAATTACAAAAATGTTGTATATTATTCAACAGATTTTGAAATTAGAAAAAGATAACCTGAAAAAAAAATTAATTAGTGAGTTTATGTGAGAAAAAAGGATCCTAAGTAACAACTACTTGTAATGACTGGTGAAGTGTTCTCTCCTTTGTATAAACGTTTTAATTAAACTATTTGATGTCATGCCATTCTACCTCGATTGGATTTAGCTTTAGAGTCTGATTAGACTTTTTTTTTCCTGCTGCATCTCCTTAGTTTTTGTGAGCTTCAGCACACAAACTGGTGTCTGGATATCTTCCTGCAAGATGCTTTGCAGAGAGCAGAATCTGTAGTTCCAGTGACATGGAATCAATGACAGCAAATCTTCTGGGTCGTTAAGCAGCAAAGCAGTGCCTGACACTAACATGTTTGACTGCAGCAGGGATCATATTCTTCTTCTGAAATGCTCTGTACACTTGATGCTGCAGGTAATAAGCTTCAAAATAAGAGCGTTTGTCTCATGAGTCTAGAGAATATTTTTCAAAAGGATATGAGTTTAGATATTTGAGATAATTGTGAATGTGTTCTTTGACAGCATTTTTTCACCATTTGTTAATTTATAGATACTTATCTGACTTTAAACCAGACCTTCAGTCCTGTAGATTTTGCTCTGAGTTCTTTTGTCACCTCCTGAATGAAGTGTCAACGCACTCTGGGAATAACTTTGGTTAGCCAGCCACTCCTTGGAGAGTTGGACACGGTTCCTTTTTTTGAACCTTGTTGAAAATCGCTCTCGGTGAATCTAAAACTACTCTGTAAGTGTTTTTAGATATGTGGCTTGTCATTTTTTACCCCCATATGTTCATTAATTTTAATTTTAAGTATTTAATGAGTTGTTTAAACCTACTTCATGTCTTCCGTTAGGTTCTGTTTAATTATTAATTGAAGGATCTGGCAATACTCGGGCCTAATTGAATCCAGTTTCACCTCATTTTATCTCTACAGCCCGGACTCATAAAAACAGGCCATTTTAAAGCACTTTATCGAGTCAGTTCAATCAAACCAGCCAGACACATTGATGAAAGGTTTTAACATAGGTTTACATTTAGAGCCAGGTTGCATTGGATAGTTTTCTTTTCTACGGTTACCTTTATCTGATATTAAATTTTGTTTTCTACTTTTGAGTAGATTTAATAATCCAAAAAGAAAGATAGGATATCTGTGACAAGTAGAGTTCTTTCTTGTGGCTCTATGAATAAATACGCTCCAAAATTTTAAAGGTATAGTGGAGGAAGGTCTTTTTCTGGATGGACCATCAAAATAAGTGGCCCTCCTTATGTCAATTGTAGCATCAGACCTACCTCTTCCAGTAAGTGAGATCCAAAAAGGAGAAGACTGGGGAGCGGCCGGACCCCCGGCTCAGCTCGGTGTCGGATCCATCATCTGACAGGTTGCTGTAACTGGGAGACTGAGCTGGAGAGGCACTGGACGTTGTGCTGTGGGCGTCTGAATCTGATGATCGGAACAAAGAACAGGAGCTTCTTAGATCTGACAAACTGTTTGTCCACTCTGGTTATCATGTCCTGGTGTCAGCGTTTGGTCAAACTTACTGTGTCTTTTAAGCTCCTTCTGCAGCCTGCTGATCTGGCTTGGTCGAGCTTTCTTTGAGATGGTTTTGATTTTCTTTGGCCTGGATGTTATCTTTAGGCTGGGACCCCCTCTGGCATCAACAACCTGTGCACAAGAAATCATTTTTTGTTTTTTTATTAATCCAAAGTCTCTACTATCAATTATCTGAAACCCATACTAAAGTTATTTACAACCATCTCCAATGGCTTTTTGTTTGAAGAATTACTCTGTTTCCAATTTCCTTGCTTCTGCATAGAAAAGCTCCCCCCACAGCATGTTGCTGCCACCTCCATTTATCTGTAGAGGAATGATGCAAACTAATAGTTTCCTGTCTTATATATTTTACATAAAGGTTTAACATGTAACCTGATGTGTTGAGCGTAAAGATAACAGTTGTTTTGCTGTTCCCCCCAGAATTACCATCAGCTTTGAAGCTGCTTCTTCTCTGATTAAGGCTTTCTTCATTACAGCTCCCAATTAAAACGGACATTTCTTGGTAGATTTTAAATTTGAAAACAATTGATGAAACAGCTCTCTTAGAGATGCTCAAAGTTTGGAATGTTCTTATATAAGATATCCTGCTTTGAACTTCTCAACACCGTTCGCCTACTATTGTTCTTTAATAAACTTTAGAGATATTACCATGTTTAAAAAAAAAACATAATTAAAAATGTTGAATCTTTGCCTCTACCGGTGTGTGTTGGTTGATCCATTAAAACGTAAAAACCTCCTCATACTTAAGTCTGGAACTATAATGTCAGATCCCCCAGAGTCCCCAGGACTCACATGGTTCCAGTTTTTCTTGGTTCCCACTGGTAGCTTTTTCCACCGTTTCACAAGGAGGACGCAGGCGTTACAGATTTCTCCAGATCTGGTTTCACTCAAGCTGCAAAAACAGTTTGTTTTTTTCAACTTGGGTTGCAATTCCACACACACACACACAAAAAAACAACAACAACAACAACAACAAAACAATAAAGATGCAGCAAGTCCTCACAAAAGAGGCCGTGTTCAGGTGTGCTTCTCTTACCCAAAGCAGCTCCTGAAGTCCTTCTCATATCGTTTGCTGTCTGTGAAACGGGAGCTGGAGGACTTGGCCCGGCAGATGCAGCAGCCTTCCAAACTCCGGTACATTTTGGGCTTATGAAAGCCAAACATCTGCATACACACACAGATATTTCAATATTAACAGCTCATCATCACTGTGCATTTTATATAGACTGCAATGTTGCACAGCTAGAACTTAAATAATAACATTTAAAAAAATTCAGGATTATCATAATTCATTAAAAATGTATTTAATAATAAACATAATAAATAGTTAGAGATATTAGTGAAGCATCACTCTGCTGTGACCCACATGGTGGAAGTAGGTCAACAGTCAGACAGCGTGTCAGACAGATAATGTCACCATGCTGCGCTCACTGGATTCACGCAACGTTTTAGAAACTCCTGGCACGCACCAGGCTGCACATCATGCAATGTTACGCTTCCATATCACCGGGATATTTAATAACTGTTTTTTGTTTTTTTGGCCGGAGAAGAAAAACATGCTGGATGAAAGCGTGTCTGCAGCAGGAGACTGGAACACCTATAAGCGCGCAACATGCAAAAGTGTGCGCTGATTTATGTTGCTAGGCAAAATGTAATCTCCCATTACACATGTGGACCAACTGCGGCAAAACTGGGAGCCGCGCCTCCCAGACTGGATTTTCTTTTTTTTTTTTCTGCCATCATTCCTTGGGGTCCTCTGACAGTGCGTTGCCACACGGAGAGCTGCAGAGATGAGAAAAATTCAAAGACCTTTCACTCTGCTGCTGATTTAACACACCAGCAGATGTTGATAATTGGTTATTTTTTTAACGTTTTGCGCTGGATGCTAAATCTTGTTAAATTAAATGATACCAAGCCGAAAACGTAAAAAAAATATTTGCAAAGCATTACCTAATGGGGTATCCTGGGCAATTATATTCCCAACATCGTTTTGAGGTTTTAATTCAAATGCAACAATTGCAAAAACATTTTATTGATCCCAAAGGGAAATTAAATGTTTATTTAACTGATTTTCATTTTATTTTTATTTTTTAACAAGATGTTGTATATGTCAATATTTTTAGGCAGGAAAGATCTTCTGTAGTGGTCTGTCTTGCAGCGGATTGTGAGAAGCCTCTGACTGAAGAGACAATGTTCGCCCAAATCCCTGAATCACTATATACTGTAGAGCCGGGGACTATATAGTGGGCTTTATAGTGCACTAAGTTAACAGACCACCACCTTTTGCTCCCTGTTGGTCATGTGACTCAGGCTACCCTGCCTGTGCCATCTTTTCCTCTCTCGTTCTCTAAACAAATACCATGGTGTTTTGCGAGGAGAGCTTTTGCAAGCCATTCTGGGATATATCTGCTCATCTAGTGACCATGGATGATCACTACTTTTGAAGGTGTATTGTGGGAAATGTTGAGTCCACTGTTTTTTCCTCCACAACATATTCAATTCGGTTTAGTTTATTTATATAGTGCCAATTCACAACACGTCATCTATTCGAACACTCCTATAAAATGACATCTCTCGGAACATCCGGACACAGCCTTAGCCATCGTTTGACATCCTTTGGAATCAGGTTAGTCACGGTTTGTCTGTAGTGTTCTTAATTTTGTGAAGAATTTGTATAAACTATTCCAATAATTAATTTCAAATCAGCAGTTTATTCAATTAATTAATTGCAAACTTACGTGTTTGTAAGTGCTGCTAGTTCTATGATACATTTTACATTTTCTAAAGAAAGGCAATTAAAAGAGTAAGCCGGCTCCTCCTTATGCATTAGGAGATATGTCATATAGTTTTTGTATCAACTCAAAGTATTTTGATCATCTGTAAACTGATTGAAGATCAGTGAACTATTACTATAATGACTGCTTATAAATGTCTTTACTAATTTGACTTAGAGAATTTTTGTTGTCATTTTGCATATGCAGAGTGTATACAAAACTACTTGTACAGCTTTCAGAACATTTCCATTCCTTAAAGTGCAGCAGTGATCAAATATAATCAGTGTGGGAGAAAAAAAAACCTGGTGCAAAAACCGCATTGATATGGAAGTTCAAAGCATTAAATATGCATGGTGCCAATACCCAGAATTTGAGGCACATGAATTGTATAGTTTCTAAGGAAGGGTAATTTTGTTTCAAAATGCAAATAAAATATAGACAGGTAAAATAAAGTTCAGGACAGCAAAACCAAATCTGGGGAATATAACTGAATGAGAAAAAATGGAATCCTTTATTATGACACGCCATTTGTTTTAATAATATTAATTAATTATTTTAGTATAATATAATGATTTTCTTTACAACAGCAGGCTATTCTTTGCAGCAGTCTACAGGTAGATGTTTTTCCCCTTTCCGTGGGCCGTCTTTAACCACACACGATCTCTGCAGCAAAATACAGTACGTGACGTAAGTCAACATGGCAACACAATTCAAAGGCGGAGGCAATGTGGAGAAGGGGGTGTGATGCGATTTTCAGCAAAAGCTTAAATGTTAACAAATTAATTACAACAAACCCCGCTGAAAGTTATCGCCCGTGCTTTAATAACACCTTAATGTTTCATAAACTGAGAGACTCGCTCATTTTATACCAAAGGAGAAGCATACGTCGCTGAAAAAAATTCACCGCCCACTCTACAGCGAGGAAGCATGGCATGCCACACGACCTGCTTCTTGCGCACCCATTTTATGATGACCGTCCTCCACTCGACGATGCCCGACTTCCCCTCCTCACTTCAACTTCTTGCGAGCTAAAAAACTGAGAATAACACCTCTTCGAAATAAATTATCCCACTTTGAGCCGGAATAAAGGGCATTTTTTCGTTAAAAACGTGTAATTTGATCTTAACTCTTTGTTATTCCACAGCCGCGTCACAGCAACTGTCCTCGTCCAACTAAACATGTGCGCAAAGTTCAAAGCTTCTATCTTCTTATAGTCGGTTTCTATTCATGTTTCTCGCTCTAAACAGTTTTTTGAGGGAGTTTGAGCTCCACGGTGCGTTCACGGACAGTTTGTGTTTAACAGGAGGCGTTTTGTTGACAGTGGCGCCGCGTGTTGAGACGCATCTCTACTCCGGGTGGGCGTGAAGGATTCAACTTGGCATCAATGTAAAGCTCAACAAAATACGCTCAAATTCAACAAACTGCCCTACAGTGCTGTTTTGAAAAATCCGAACTATAAAATGATGCAAAATTCAACTTTAAATAAATTACATTAGTGGTTAAATTAGTGATTCCCTCACGCAGCCGAACGCACCAACAACAACAGCCACAATCTTGCTTCTTATGTCTGCATCTGATATAAAGCTTTCCCTCTTCTCCATCCTTTTTCCACTTTCACTTGAGTCATCAATAAAATTACCTACAAAACATCAATTGCTCGGAGACAACTCCAAGCTTATCTTTTATTTCACATCTCTAAGCGCAACAAATACTTAACAAACCAGGCAATTAAACACAGCAAAACAAACATAAACCGTTCGCAGACGTTACCTTGATGAAAGTTTGGTTAAGCTGACGCAAAGCAGATATCCTTAAAGAGCGTATTAGGAAAACCAACCCGCATCAGTAAAGCGGCTCTTGTTGATGTCTGAGCTTTGAGGACGGGACTGGAGAGTTGTGAAGCCACTGCGCATGCGTCACATCCACACCTCCATTTCAGAGTAGTGCGCAGGGCCCCCTCATTTTTTTTTCTTTTTCTTCAATCAAACTATTTACATAAGCGACGTGTGACGTAGGCGTGCGTCTGAGCTCGACTGGCCTTATAAGGATGGGAATATTAAGCGGGAACAGGGGGCTCGGCCCTGGTTGCTATGGCACATTGGAGAATGTAAGCAAAGGGGCGGGGCTTGTTGTTTTACTACAGAGCGCCAGATGGCTTGTCTAGGGGGCCTGCAGTTTTTTTTTTTAGGAGGCTCGGCGTCTAGCGACGTGATGGGCTTTGTTGATTTAAAATTCGCTCGAAAACAACGAGATTAGTGTTGAATTAAAAGCTGGGTGAAATCTCTGACTCACTGTCTATTTTAGATCAAACATATTCCTGTGCAAAAAAGGAAAAAAAAAAAAAGAACAATCAAATATAAGCAATTATCCATGTAAACAGCTCTTTTTTTCATGATGCAATTAGAGTAATTTAATAAATTGGCATAACCACAAATATAAAAACCCCTGAGGTATCTGTCCTCTTTTTTATGTAGGTGCACTCATAAACCGTATTGTATTTTATTCGGTTCCATGTTGCAAAGAATGTATGAGTTATAAAAACTGTCTAAACAAAAATCTGTTTTGTGCGAGCCTGATTGAAACTGAAATATAATCTGAGCAACATGTCAATTGTAGTTTTATTTTAACAGTATTGTGATGGATTTTAAACAGCAGACAGATCAGGGATGAAGATGCACAAAAAAGTTTAAAGCTGGGCTTAAATATGAATCACAAGATCAAATGAAAACAAAGCAGCAGCGATAAGGCCGCTAGTAACTCTGGAGGAGCTGCAGAGATTGTTATATTTGAGAACATTTCACCTTGATGAGCAATTCTCATCTGACCCATAATTCTTTCCCTCCACTTTACAAAGATGTGTTGTTTTTTGGTTGTATACCATAAAAAATATCCCAATAAGAAACATCATCGTTGTGGTAAATATGTTAAATATAAGATTATATTACAAGACACTTTATAAAATAGATTAGAAATATTGCAAAAACTGAAATAAAAAAAGTAATAATCTGAACAGCTGTTTAGTATTTTAAGTTTATGGCCAAAAAAAAACCTCCACAACTTTGCATTAGTCAGGTTTTGCCGTTGATGCTGTGTTACTATTAAGCCACTTGCTGCAGTTTGAAAATGTATTGAATAATTTGGAAGGGCTCTCTAACAATGCACAGAGTCCTGCTGCTGCAGCTGCTCCAAAGCAGATGCAATGCAAGAGAAGGACACCCCAGATACCTTTTGTGATCCTTTTTATTCTTAGTATCATCTTCTATAACACACTACAACTGCATTGGTTGCAGATTATCACGGTTCCCACATGACAGCCTTTAAAAATGTTTTTTTCTTTAAGATGATGACGGGGAATGATATTTGTTAATGTTTCCTCGGATATCATCCTCATTGTAGTTGTAAAATACAGATAAGGGGATTTTTTTGTAATTTTAATATCAAATATTTGGAGTAGAATAAACAGTTAAACATGTAGCCAGTTTGTCATAAGTAGTAGTTCAGTATCTATTAATCATCCATAAGTTACTGCAGAAAAATCTCCTCAACTTTCTCTCAGTTTCTTAACTGATCTAAACTTAAGCAATGCATCAAAATGCTTGAAAGCTTCATCACCACTTGGGGACTTTTATAAAAAATGTTTTTGACTTTACGATGCCAAACGTTTGTCTTTTTCTCAGACCACACACTTATATCTTATATTTGCAATATAACATACATGTTTCTGGACACATCCTCATTAAGAAAATTGAATTAACCAACAGAGTCTTGGAGTTGAACCAGAGTTTGTATAGCTTAAAAATTTTGAGCAAGCAATTCTTTTACCTGAACAATTTATTTAATAACAGGTTTCCTTATCAAATTCATTAGCTATATATTAGTTTATATTGATTTGAAGAAAAAGAACTATATAACAGAGGTGATACAAAATATATGATATAATGTTATATAATAATTTCAGTTAAATCAAATTGAAATTGATTTACTTGATCATAAAAAGGTGGACCCAGGAGGACGTATTGCTGTTATGTACTATAAATACTGTACCTTTTTTCTCATTGGGTTATATTAAACGCTGCCTGTGGGGTGTGGAGGACTGTAGGATGTTTGTTTACAGTTACTGAATTTGCTGGAGTGCTGGATTCTTGCTTTTCTGTGTTTAAGCCCCTTTATCTGTTTTTATGAATGCTTCTAACCTGCCTGACCATACTACTGAACAAATATTTATGGTCTTGTAAGATAGATCAGAATAATAAAAAATAAAAATAAACAAACAAAAATGAATATACACAAACCCAAATCTCTTACAAAACTGAAAAAAAATCATGAGATTGTGGTTTTAACATATAATATATTATTTAAGTTTAAATTAAGTAAAATATTTTTGTTTAAGTGGATACAATAAATGAATAGAACCTCTAAATTATTAAAATATTTGTTTTATACTTAAAAAAAGACTTGTTTTTTTGTTTGTTTTTGCACCTAATTCTGCAACATTCAAACTGGGACTGTATGTAGTGTGTTTCTTCTAAATAATAACTAAATGTCATTGATCTCACATTGGAGAAATTTACCTCTGCATTTAACCCATCCCCTTTAGGAGCAGTGGGCTGCCGTTGTGCAGCCCACAGGGAGCAGTCAGTGTCTTTGCTCAGGGACCCAGAGTGGCAGTCTGTGGGAGTGGGGCTCAAATTCAGAACCTCGGGATTCCAAGCTCTATGCCCTAACCACTAGGTTAGGTTGAAAATAAATGATTGATCACACTCTGATGTATTTGAACTTTAAAGTAACAACAAACTGGGAATAGCAGGTTGTAGAAGGTAAAGTTCCAGATTGGTCAAGGAAGTTTCCATCAAAAACAAATTAATGATCAGTATGTTTTTTTTTTTTTTTGTATACCTGAAACAGAATAAAAAATAAAATAACATTAAATACATTATAATCTCTTTTCTTAGGTAAAAGTATTGACCCCTAACAGGGTTGTTTTTTTCTTTTTCCTTACAATTACAAGTTTCAGTTCAAATGGAGTAACATCTGATATTTGCAGCTCTATTGTCGATAAAAACCAACAAGATAACCTGAGTAGAAATCCTGAAATTATTATTTAATTCATCAAGGAACAAGGGATATCAAAAACTGTTCTTATGTGAAAAGGCTATTGTGCCTTAAACCTAAGCACTGGTTTTGTCTCCCTTTTTGAAGCAACAGCTGCCATCAGTTTTGTAGTAATATGTCGTCTACATCCCTCCAGAAGAATTAAGACCTGCTCTCCTTCATAGAAATATAAATAAATATATTCAGTCATTAAAGGTCAGTCAAGAAAGGCGCTGTTAAATAAAATGTATTATTATTATTAAACCAAATAATCTAAATTTGATTTAAAACTTTTTTTTTTAGGAACTCAGAGCTGGACTTGGGGGTATGACAAAGGGGCATAATCGGCAAAATAATAAAAGCGTGTTTGAGCTGAAGGTTGCGAACTAATGGAAAGACATGTTTATTCAGAATATTCTCATACTTACATCCAGCAACAGGCCAAACAGCTGTCTCGTTAGTCCTTAGACAGAAATTTATTGGAACAGAAAGATGTTCTACGTGTCAGTGTGAAAGGTTCCTTTCTATTCCTATCATTAAATCATGAACATTAGCCTAAGTGAGACCTTTTATTGGATCTTATTCAGCTTCTCTTGGAGCTCCTGGGTGGGTTACCAGCACCTTTGGAGTCATTTAAGAGGCTTTTAAACCATTGAATTATCAGTGACTCAGTTTCTTTATATTGATGCATGTTGTGTTGCCTTTTTAAAATATTTTGGCCAACTGCAAGCTTTTAAAATTCTGTTAAAGTAATTTTCATCCATCCATCCATTTTCTAACACGCTTATCCCAAGTGGGGTCACGAGGGATGCTGGTGCCTATCTCCAGCTGTCTACGGGTGAGAGGCGGGGAGAAAAAACCTTGGTCAGGTCACCAGTCCATCGCAGTAAGGTAATTTTTATTATTACTATTATCATTCAGGTCTGGCTGAAATTAGGTCAGAATGTCACAACTGAAACTTAAGCCGAAACACATAACCAACTATGAGATTAATCTTTTTTTAATCCTTTTTGAAAAAGAAATCAGCCCCAATTCCATATTTTCAATTCCAGGGAACTGTTCGTTTTATGATTCGTCAACAACAACATATCAAAACAAATCATCTGTGTCAAGAACTTTAATTTTTCAACAGCACAAACCATGAATAACTTATTATTGCTCTTTCTAATCTGCATCTAAACAACAGAGGCTTGGTCATAATGGGGTACATGGTGCTTGCAGGATAGTGCAGATCTGTTTTCACATATCTTTATCTGTTAAATTAAATGCAACATTAAAATACCTTCACATTTTTAATGAAACTGTGCTCTTTTGATCTTATAAGACAATTAAACAGCATGTCTATCATCCACATGGGAAAGTGGGCCTACAAAATGATGCTAACAACATATTACTGCATACTGAAAAAAGGAAACAAATGAGATGGGATGGATGGCGCAACTTTAAGAGAAATCTGACGCATATGACTATTAACAGCGAACGAGATTGGTGAGAAGGATTCCTGACAGAGAAATAAACAGGACTAGATATGACACAATAAGGACACCAGCTTGGATCCAACTAGGGTTTTTCATAAGCCAGACTCTGCTCAGCACATGACCCAAAACTGAAAAAAAAAAAAAAAAAACAAGAACCAGGCCAGACATGATACTATAACAAGAGCTTCATGTAACATTTTTATGCATAAATTATACAGGGAGAACATTAATTTTCTCAACAATATTCACTTAGATATCAAATAAATGATGGTTAATAAGGCCTGAGCAATGGCACTTCAGATTACAACACCTAAAGTAATGAAACGAAGATTCTGGCCATGCATGTTTAAATCTTAAGTGCAAGCAACACAGCAGGAAATAGTTACAATTGTTCTAAAATATTTTATAAGACGGATCATGTAAGCAGATATTTTCTGCATGTTCAATCTTTTCTCCTCGAGGGGATTTCACAGTGTAGACAAACACAGGACTATTTCCTGGAGCAGATATAATACTTTTACATCGGTGAATAAAGAGATATGTTTGGTGCTTGAAATTCTGCTGAAAATGTTGTAAGAGTCTGGATGCATTTTGTTCCTTTCAGTAGTTTTGAACTCTTTAGGGTGCATGCGTTTCCATTTCATGGTCAGAGTTCGACTCCTTTGACCAGCGCTGCCTCCAGGGTAATGCTGAAGTCGTTCAGCGTATGAAGGATGCGACAGAGGGAGTGTAGGGCAGCCCGGTCCCGCAGCAGAGCTCCATCCTCATATGTCCGAGCTGTTAGGGGACACTCTGCCAGCAGGGGGAACCACTGGGACAGTAGCCGGTCCCTGCAGAGATGGACAAATAACACTTGGTAATGGTGTCAGTATTATCTGAATAAGTTGGAAGTATTTTAACTTAACTTAAAAAATCCATATACAATAGTTTATCTTGAAGAAGCTTATTTTAAGGAGGTCAAATGTTCATTATCCATTATCCAAAATGTCTTTGATAAGTTAATATCTCATTGGAGTAGCCTCTTCTAGCCTAGACATTAAAAGCGGACAATTGAAACCTGCATGGCATCACCAAAGTATAAAGGAAACAGACCCTGAAAATGATCTTTTGTTGACATGACAACTCTGTAAAATGTATTTTTGTTTGTCCAAAGTTCCTTTAAATCCACCATGTACTGATGTCTTCAGCTTTCTCATTTGAATTTAATTCTAAAAGGTTTTGGTTTTCTTTTTACTTTAAATCTAACTGCAATAGAGCAGGTTTGGTTAGCAGATACACTCTTGATAGAGGTTAGACTATGTAGACAAAAACTTTGCTTGCAAACTTTCTTTAGTCATTAAACTAAATTTTAGGCAATTTAGACAAAAATGTAATTACAGGTGTGGACTGAAGGATTTGAAAGTCAGTTTATTTATTCAGCACACAGAATCTCCTACACTGTAGGCGTAACAGATCTTGTCATAGCTTTTTTTTTCTTTTCTTTTAAATTTCATGTGATTTATGTTGCCTTTACATTTTTTGCTACTTTGCCTAAATTCTACCTCTTCGTTAAAAAATAGGGGAAAAAATAAAAAGAAATGAAGGTTCACCTTATTCCCAGGCAGACAAACAGCTGGAATTTTCCCTCCTTCCCGATGTTCCGGGGAGAAGTGTTTATGGCGTGGACGTAGCGGCACAGCGAGTCACAAGGTGGACCTTTTGGTAGAGTTGATCCCTGCAGGTCTCCCATCTGATCGTTTGTCTCCAAAGAAACCACGGCTTTTTCTATGAGGAAAGATTGACGGATTTACATGAGGAACAAATGCTCAGTCATACCTTGCTGCATGAAACCTTATATGAGACACTACCATTGACAACCACAAGATGGAGACAAGAAGCACAAACACTCATTGAGAACTGACTTACCCACAAAATCCCAAACAAAAACATTCCTCTGAAAAAGACGGTTGGATCTGAACCCGTGGAGGAGGAACTTCTCCAGAGCTAGGACCAGTCCTCCTTCGCCACATAACAAGACTGTCAGGTTCCCTCTCTGAGATTACACAGAGAAAAAGGTTTAGTAAGAAACAGGCTCAAAAGAGGAAAATGTAGTTTATTCAATCTTTATCACATTAGCAGTGCTTTCTTCACACATGAAAAAATAACATTGAGGGATGGAGATAATGAACAGCGATGTGCAGAATTCTGCTCCCCTTAATTAAACAGCTTGTCAGGCTTTCAGCTCAAATGAAGTGAACAATGTTTAATGGATGTATACACAATAATGAGGCTATCACAGAAACGCACCTCCTGCTCAGGTTTGTGGAAATGCTTAACAAGGTTGTTGGCCGCCTCCCTCAGGTCCTCCTGCACCTCAGCAGAGTGCATTCCTGAAAACACAAGCAGAAATTTGAGCATCTTTAATGCCATTTCAAAAAACAAGTGGAAACCAGAGCATGTCGTGACACAAACAAGTAGGTCAGCTATTGTTTTCTTTGTCAGTAACGTACTGCTTCGGCCACCCAGCGATCCCAATACAGTTCTGACACTCTGAGATGGAGACGCTAGCTCTGGAGGAGTTCCTGACCACTTCCCAGCTTCCTCTTCAGCTCCAGGAGACACCAGCTGACCGATGAGGACCCTCTCCAAGCTGCCATCACCTACGCCTTTCCCCAGCCATCGGCCACACGGAAACCTGCCAAAGGAAAATACCATTTTCATCACATAGAAACATATTCTGTTTTCTCCGGCTGTGACTCAAACCACAAAATGTATTCCAATTTTGGGTTGTTTCCATGATTTTGGAGGAATGTAATGTGTTTGTATGAGGCTTAATGTAATTCAGTGTCACCGTCGAGGTTTAAATAATAAAATCTGATATGAGTTTAGTTCTGTTTAGCTTGTGATTGTCAATTGGAAACAAGTCTGCATAGCTAGCGTCAATTCTCTTGGTAGGTCAAAAGTTTGTGTGGACTGTCGCACATTTTCACACAACATTCATTTTTATACATCTCCAGTTTTATATTAAACTTTGTGTTGTAGGTTTTTTCACACTTCATACATGAGGTCCCAGATCTTACAGAATGGGTGGGGGGCCATTAACCATAATTCCCTGTGCAGTCTTTGTCTTTTTTATTTTTGGAAAATGATACTGCTTTTAGTTACAATTTAAAAGTACAGCCCTCTTTAAATCTCCCTGTATTTCATAATTCAAAATCATACACCAGTTTCCAAAGTCATTATGACTAACACCATGGTCCTGTATGATTTAGATAACTCCCTGGTGTAAAAAAAAGCTGAATCTAAGTAATGATGATTTCCAGTTTTCTGCAGAACTTGATGGCAAGGTGAGGAGCTAATTCATCCATTAAAATCATGATTTACAGAAGGAGGGTCACAACTAAAACACAACGGCCCTTAAGGACAGGAGATGGATTTCTTTGCTATATAGGCAACAAAGCAGTCCACGGTCTTTGTGAAATACATCACCAAGATAGTCAAAAACTGTTTCTTTTTCCCACGACATCAGAGAAAACAGTAGATACAAAATAAACTTTCAAATGTCTATTCATTTTCTTTTCTTGGAAGTATGAAACAGCAGATTTCACAGCATGACGTAAAGCCTTTGATTTTTGGCGAAGTGCCAGCAGGAGTCCCAACTGAAGCATGTGTCTTTAAGAGACACATAATGTTGTATTAGGTAAAAGGAAATTACCCAAGAAATATATGATAAAACGCAGCTTTCTTGGTCTTTAGGTGGGGAAAAGGGACATTTAAGTGAGCACTCACCTAGCAAAAAAATATGTGAAAAACGTGCTACATGCTATTCCTAAAGGCGGCAAATAAAACATCGGGAATAAACTTCCGGTCCTGACGGTGCAGGAGACCCCATTGGCCAGATCTGCAACAAAGCGTCCTAACAGGGCAGGTCTGGGTCTTGACAGTGCAGGTTTGCAGCCAGACCCCTTTCGCTTTCCACACATTCATCCCTAGTTTTATGTCAAACCCACCTGGACTGTTTGTTCCTAAAATGTTATCTGATCCAAGCACACAGGTATAATTCCAATAGTAGGAATAGCAGGGGTAAAACCAGAGGGTGAGATTCACCTGTAGGTGTGTCCTGTGATCTCGTTGTACACCACCACACAGTCGATCAGACACTTGGCCAGTAGGCCCGAGTTCTCCTGCACTCCCAGCTGCAAGGTGCTCAGCCGGCCCAGGTTCTTGCACTAAAAGAAGAAGCAGATTAAGGATCTCATTATATCAAGTCTGCTCTGAGAGAAAAAGCTTTTGCATTCCTATTTTAGAAAAATCTGTGGACCTTAGTGAGAGTAAAGGAACTAAGGCCTTTTTAAGATTTTTTTTTTTTTTTTACCAGTAAAGACTTCTGATAATTTAATCATCTATCAAGTTTTAATACCCACTGAATCTATCCAGATGGTCCAGACTGGCCGAATTTGAAACATTTTTTAGGACTACAATTAGCTTAAGTAAAGACCCATAAGAGGTACAAACAATAAGTTTAGTAAGTCATATTTTTAATTTTATTTTCTGTTATAACGTAGGAGATTTACATTTATTTTTACCAAATTAAGTCGAAATTTGGTAAATTTCTGACAGTTTTCTTTTAAACTCTGTCAGTCAGTTAAGGTTTTTACATTTCAATTTCCTATATTCAGTTTTTCTATTCAATATTCAGTCAGCTTTAGAAAGTCGGTAAGGCATTTTAGACAACTTTTGAAACCTTATTTTCAAACCAAACCTCATAAAATGCACACTTCCTTGTAGGTTAGTAACAGATAATGTAAAAAGAAATCTTTTTATTGTGATTACTTAATCATACATAAGGTCCCTTTCAGCAGCAAATTGCTATTAGTGAAAGCAATTTGCTCATGCAAATAGGCTACCTAAAGCATTAATAAAGAATGAATGGCTTATTCTAAAGTGCTTTTTATGACTGATGGCAGAATGAAGCAGGATAAACACAGACAAAGGGGGGACTCTTATACTGTGATGCTGTTGCTGGTTCCGTGTGTATGAAAAGAAAGCCTGGCGCAAAGGCCCATTATCGGCCCACTGATATTAAGAAATTAAAATTTAAAAAGAATAGTGAAAAGGAAGCCCTCTCTGTCCATCATTCTGAAGATAGGTTTCTAGAGTAAATTGTTCTTTCTGCTTATGTTGAAAAATGCTTGACACAGAACCAAGTTATTCCTGGAGTAAAACAGCATGAAAGAACTCAGCATTAAATGCATGATAAAAATAAAAAAAACCAATGTGGTCTAAATCAAATAAAAAGTCAGTGATCGTAACCACAAAATGATCAAAAATACAAAATGTTAAATTTTTAATGCACAGACAGTAAAAATCCTAAATTCATACCAATCTTTCTGGATGGTGCACCCAGACATCTAATGCACATCTCTTTAAACATTTATGAAAAACTTCATCCTGAGCTTTTCTCCCTAAAGGCAGCCACCATCTTTTTATTCTTTGGGTTGTTTTGGAATACAAACCTGAAAAAAGATTTCCTGTGAATTCTTTGGGATCTGCCTAACTCCTGAGTCGCCCAGCTCTCCAGAGACACACACCCAGGGGTTAACTGTTGCCATGGCAATGCTCAGCTTCTTCATGGGAATTATAACAACACGGTACGGAATACCTAAGGAGGAGAAAAAGGACACCAATAGGATTTGTGTGCATTTTTTTTAACACTTCTCTATAAATTCAAATGTTTTTCTGACACTCCAAAAAGACCTGGCAAAAGGCCTGGCAATAAAGTCAGATGGGTGGGGATGCATGTCGTAAAACACAACTAAAAGCTGAACGTTAGTGTCTCTTTGTGTCCTTTAGGGTAACAGGACTGCCAGTAAATTCTACTATTCCGGTGGTCAGGTTTATAGGACTTACTGATGGAGGTGAAGGTGCGGGTAAAACAGAGGTAGTCCACAGTGTTGAGGGAGAGCAGGTGATACAGAAACTGTTCTCTCTCTTCCTCGCAGAGCAGGAATGCATGAGGTTTATACAGCTGCCTGTGGGGAAAGCATGAAATCGATATATAAAAAAAAAAAAAAATAGTGGATAAGTTTCTAAAAGGAAACTCAAATGAATGAAGGAATGCAGCTGTTTGAAAATCAAAAACTTGTTGTTTTTTAAGAAAATGTAACAAAATTGATTTAAAAACGGATTTCATTTTCTTTCAACTTGGAATTTAATGTAAAATAGGTATGGAGTATGGAGAATAACTACCGTTAAAGAAAAAGTACAAATATTACAGAATTTACCATGTGAAACCTGAGCTGTTGTGAGGATGTTTAAAAACCAAAAGACAAGAACAAAATGGTGTTCATTCAGAGCAAATATCTACAACCCGTAGCTCTATGTAGCTTTGTTACATTCCTCACTCAAATGTCTTTTAATTATTAAGATGTTAGAAAAATTGTCTGGTTTCAACAAGTTTTCTATTTTTCTCAGTCAAATAAAAGTAAAAGATAAAATGAGTATTTCTAAGTTTGTTGTCTCTATAATTCGGCTTAAAACTCTGCCCTTTTTCCTTCTATCAAATCTGTTCAAATAAACAAGGAATTTGATTTCAGTTCCCTCCTTTGTCTGAGTTTCTCTCAAACACTTTAAATAATATAGAAGATAATAATACATAAGAAAGAAAACACACATAAATATTAGCGTAAATAATTATAGACATGGCACATTCTATTTCATAATGTTTGAAAGATTTATCGTTCTAAAACATAGAAATAAAAAAAAAAATATATATATATATTTTATCTAACCCTAAATCAAAAATGTATTTGTTTAACTTTAATTTAAGGCATATTTTTTTCATAGAGACTAAGTATACTAGGAGCATATTAAGCTTTTAAAAGTAATAGACTCCAAATTCAGTGTTTGTTAGCAGATTTAAAGGTGCTTTTTAAAGTCTAATGTACGCCAGTCCTTAAGCTAAAAGCAATAATTACTTTAAGTAAAGACAAACAAAAAGATTGCAATTTTATGAGAAGTGGAATTGCCGTATGTCCGTGCCCTCTTCATTGTTCCTGTGTCAACACAAGTTTAAACTCTGTGGAGAACTAATTAAAAACAAGCAGCTGAGAGGCCCATCCTCCAACATTTTAATTTAGCTATTTGCATAGTTTGTTGTAGAGTCCTTTCATGCAGCAGAAAAAAAAAAATCCAAAACACATTTGTTCTCTGATTGACTATTTGTTGGTCTAAGTGCATGTATGCATGAATGGCGATTGTTCTGTTAAATTCAGGATGGATACATGCTCCATAATAGAGCAGTAAATTCAGACCTGAGCAGCTCCTGGTTTGTCAGCAGCTCTTTGAGGTGTTGGGACAGCATTTTTTTCTCCAGAGCCAGATGGATCCAAGCTCTGGCCTGGCCCACCTCAGACAAATCGTCTCTCATGGTTTGGATAAACCTAAAGCATTTAAAAAAACACAAATTCAAGGATGATAGGTCAGAAAAAAAGTCAGGGAATTATATCTTTAAATGAAATATGTTTTATCTATAAAAACCTCATGTCCTGAATTAACGATCCTCTTTGGAGCAAAGAGCCATCCTCAGACAGCCTCTGGTCCAAACAGTTTGAACCTGAACAAAAAAAAAGAAAAGTCAGCTTTGTAATATATTTGCACACAAACTTAAAAAATGAAAAAAAAAAAAAAAAAAGTTCTTACCTGCTACATCTACTGGGGCTTCCATCTTCTCCTGAGCAGCCTGGTAGTGCAGCAGATGGGACCAGATTGCACACTTTCCCTGTTCATCACAAACACATTTATCACCATCAAAGCAGTGTGAGATGTGTTGTGTTTGCAGAGGTCTGTCAGATTCTATGTCTGACCTGTTTGATCTGCAGGCCGTGGCCCCAGGTCCTCTCTAGCAGATCACACAGACCGTGGATGAGAGTGTTTTCCTGAAGCCCGGTGATATTGGCTTCTCCCTGACCCAGCTCCACACACTCTTTCCCTATCCTCTCCATCAGCATTCGCTTAGTCTGAAAAGCACAAAAAAAGAGGGATCAACTCCATTATCCTTGAGTTGTTTTAAAGTGCCCAACCTCCATCCGAGCAGAGAATGAGAACACTCACCTTCAGACGACATTCCCGCAAAAGACCATCAACAAACTCCCTGTGGGTCTGAGAGACAACTTCGGGTGACGGGTTGAGGAGTTTTGACTGTCTGATGGTTCTCCTTGTAAAATTGGGTTTCTATGAATAAAAAAGACCTGCAGATAAATGACAATCCTTCTGAGGTTTGAGTATGTATAGCTGTGTGTCAACAACAAATATTTTTACCTGTTTGGGTTCAATGTCCGATCCAGTGTGTTCAGAAGCAGTTATCCTCCTGGGTTCAGTCCTACGTGAAGCTTTTACGCGACTAGAATACCTGGACACAGAAAATAATACAATGTACTGTTATAAAAGCATAGATCTGTGTACGGATGCTTTGAGTGTTTTAGCTTGCCATAGGGATGTATTGGTAGTGATGTGTTTCTAGGTAGGCTGCTTATGGAGAATACATACTGTTAGGATCTGAACTTCGTTTGTTGCTCCTGCACCTCTACAGCTGTTTTCTGGTGGATTTTTTTTTAGAACAAATCTGTTTTTAGCCCTGTCTTTCATGTCAAAACTCTGTACTTGTCCAAAGTTATATTTCCATGCCCTCCATCCTCTTTAACCTATTGTTAAAGTCTTACAGATACCAGTATTTCAGCAGACTAGCAACAGGAAATTAAAGGCTCACTTGTACGCCTGTGCAAGAACGTCAGCCTGCAGCTTAGGGAAGTATCCTGGGTGATGTCGGCCCTGGCCGATCCTCATGTCCAGCAGGTGGGGGTGTATGGCCGTGTGGTCGCTCTTCAGCAGCCTGCGCTCGATTGCTTGAGCTGCAAGCAAGGAGAAAAATAATCTGATGTCATTTTTTTAATAAAACAAAACCATCAAACATGGTTAACGTGGGAATGAGAACACCTTGAAGCAGTTTGTGTTTAAATGTTGAAACAAGTTGAGAGCATGATATGTTTAATCAGGTTCTTCAGAAAAAATACACAAAAACATCTCTCTGCTTTTAAAAAGCAAACTATGAGTGTGGAAAAAACCAGGAGGAGAGAATCAGTAGATCAAATTGAGTTACGCAGGTTTTCTGTTTCCTTATTCGAAAAATACTGTAAAACAACATATATTAAAGCACTATGTTCTCACCAATACATCAATAAATGACACCAATATGGAGCAGATGGAATTAGTAAATATGAATAAAGCCCTCATTTGTACTTGTCACATCAGCCTAAGTAGTGCATAATTATAATTTCATATTTCAATTATAATGGCTCACCGTTATATAACTCAAGACATATGAAGGTCTGCACATTCAGTACCTGACTCAAACAGAGTGGTGCATTTCCTGTAAGGACGTTTCCGGGACTCCTCGTCGCTTATGTCATACAGTCGCTCTCTCTCCATACGGCTGTCAAACAGCTGCTGCAATGGCTCCCGGTCCACCCACCGCGATATGACCTTCCCATCGATGAAGGAGGAAAACATGGAGGTCTCCAGGAACCGGGATAAGAAGTGCAAGTGTGTGGCTGGCTGAACTGAAAGAAAAGAACCCTAAAGCAACAATTGTTGTTGATCTGTTAGTGGAATAGGCATTACCAGTAGTTTTAGTAATGTGTCAGTTATCTGCTGAAGTACCTTGTCAAAGCTGCAAGTGCCTTCTCTATTGCTCAACCAGGAGTCCAAATCCATTGCACTGTTGACAATAAAGTCCTCATATCTGCCAAACATGGCAGCGAAACGAAGAGCAAACACCTCCCTCAGCTGAACATTTAACTTTGCAGCCTTCAGCTCTTCTTTCTCCTCTTCAAGCACGTGCTCCAGTGTCTTTCCTCCCTCTGATGCTTTTTCTCCTCCACATCTCCTCGCTAGAGCCTGGAGCCTCTCCAGCACAGCCAGCTCCTCTCCTCCCAGGTTCCCATTCCTCCTGTCCTCCATCAGGTCCTCCAGCACCAAGCTGCTCAGGCGTGGGGAGGTGGAGCTCGTTGTGGTTTTTGCTGTCATTCCTCCCCGTGGAGGGAGTCCAAAACTCAGCAGTACCTCACTTAGCTCCTGTATGAGCTCAGTCTGATCTGGGAACAGTGGGATGTCTTCTGGGGCTTCAACACAGTGGTTGTCAATGTCCACAAAACAGAGATTCGCCTACGGAACAGAACATAAAAGCCTACCTTAGCCAGCATAACAGGACATAATCAGCATAATTATGTAGATAATGTGGCTGAGCTCCAATTAGCTGTGAAATAAAGAAAGATGTAATCATTTGAAGGCTTATCTTTGCAACAAGAGATACATCAGGAAAATATTTTGTCAGTCTCAAGTTATAAAAACCTGTGCAATACAATCCATAAATCTGCTGAGCACAGCGTTCCTAAAGAATACCAAAAGAGGGGCAGGGATTTTAGAAAAGCTGCCCGGTAAGCAGCAGTCAGCATCAATGCAACCTTCAGCAGTGACCCAAAGCTGACAGTTTAAACCCTCTGGGATGCAAGGAGATACATTGAAGAGGCGGCACTTTTAGTCAGCTCTCTGCAACATCATCCACCCAGTCCTAAATTTGAATCATTATGTTAGCAAAAAAAAAAGAAAACAAGGAAACATGTTTTAACTCAGTTAAGTTCATTAAGCCAGCACTTCAAGCTCAAAGGTCACCATACTCATATAATTAATGATAAATAAAAATGCATATCTTTTCATTTCTATTAATTATTCAGTAAAGCCCATTATTATGGATTTGCCAGGCTCTTCATTTCTGCTTTCATCCCCCTGGAGCAGTCTTACCGCGGCCTCCTTTCTGGTCGAGAGCAACTTCAAAAGGGATTCAGCGAGACAATCATGGAGCATAAAGCAATCTAGGATGCAAGCATTGATGTGAATTGAGGACAGCTCCAAGGGATTGTGCAGAGCCAATCACAGAGGGGTGGGGGGTGGAGTGGGCATGAAGCAAGCATCTCATCAGTAAAAAGGCTTTAAGAAGCTTCTTTTAAAAACATGCATATATATCTGAATCCTTAAACTGTGTTTGAGTGCACCTCCATTGCAACTCCATTTAAATAAATATTCCTTGAAATAAATGTTTATTACAGTGTTTATCAGAATTTAATATAAAAGAGAACACAAACTGGAAAACAATTGTGAAGGTTGAAAGTAAAATATGGGAATTTTTTTTTTTTTTTTTTTTTTTTTTTACAAACATAAATCTTAAATGCTCATCATGTTTTCATGACAAGCACTAGGAAGTCACAGTCTACAGCTAAATCCAATCAGAAATCTGTGATAAGACACACTAATTATGTTCAGATGATTGAGAGGAAGTCAACCTGCTAAATGCGGCAAATACTTGAGAATTAAAAGGAGTTTTACCTTTAAGCATGACTAGGGCCCTAAATATGCAGCCAATTATACAATAGACTAGACAAAATCTAAGGCTGCCTAGTCAAATCCCTGTCCTCCTACTGACTGATTATCTGTAAGAAGACTTGAAAATTGCTAACCTGACAACAGCCATATGTTGTCAGGTTAGAAAATTGCAGCTGTGAAACATCAATCTGAAAAGGTTTGAGCCAATTTGTAAGAAGGAAAAAATCTCTCTCTTAATGTGTAAAGCTGGTAGATGCATACATTTAATAAAATATGGACAGAGACTGATATAAGAGCATACAAGAATATACCAGATTTTCTTTTTTTGCATGTAATGAAGGCAAACAGGATAATGGTCTTTTACATAATATCTTCAACCCAAAATACTTCCAGCTTCCTTTTTACCTCATGCGGAAGGTGGAGGGAGGATCGCTGAGCTCCGTCTCTGCGCTGGATGCCCATCAAGAAAGGCACTGGAGCATCAAGGAGGTGATGCAGTGGTGTAGATATGATGGGCAGGTAGATGTGCTGCCACTGAAAGGGGAACAGCAAAGTGGTGATGCCTTCTGCCACCATCATCAAACGCTGGTAGTCTGAGGAACAGTTAGACAATAACAGGAGTCCGTTACCATTAATTAATCCTTTGTACCCAGAAAGGAGATCACTTTAGAGCATTTAAAGCAACATTTCAAAACAGCTGTCAACAATAATTAAATCCCCCCCTTAGAAAAGCACAGCAAAATAAATGATTAGATAATATTGTCTATTTTCAAGTCAAAGTTGCTTCAAACACAGTTTTGTTTTAAGTTCATGCACAAAAAATATGTTTAAATTATTTACATTGTTTAGATCCTATGTAATAATGGATTGGGGTTCTGTACACAGGATATGAGTAGTCAGTAGCTTATCTTAATAATTGTGGGTATTTCCACTTTTGTGAAAAAGATGTTTTGCTACTAAATCTTTCTTATTTACTATTCTAAAAACACTATTTGATTCATCTTTACATTGCAGTAATGTTTGGATTTTAGCTTATGTAAATTTAGTGTTGGTCCATGATTCATAATAGACAAATTTATCCAGCCTACTCTGACCAGACAAACCTAACATGTCCTGCTGTGAGAATGACTTTCACAAACTGACGTCATTATTCTACCCCTGCCCTGTTAAAATAACGCATCTACCTTGTGATTATTTATGAAGAAAAGCAGCTTTCAGTTGATAATATTCCAGTGTTGCCTTTTTAACACAGAGAGTCGGACCATATGAATTTTAAGCTCCAGCTAAACCAGGCTGTCAGATTATTTTGGGAATTCTAGGAAAATCACTGGCTTGATCACAGCTTAGAAACCAGATGTACTCTGCATTTAACACTAAGTGCACTATAGATGTACACTTTGGAGGCCTCAAAGATTGTATGCATAACACTAAACTTGGGGACCCAAAATAATAAAAAATAAAAGTGAGATTGTGACATAATGCAATACTTAACTAAAACACCTGATAATTGACATAATGCACTCTATTCCTTACATTTAGCCCATGTTTTAGGGAACCTGTTGGAAATCAGTGGTAATGGACAACAGACACATGGTTTGTGTCTCTCTACCTTTTGATCTAAAGTATTTAGAGTGGTTAAACCTGAAGCTGAGAATGATACATGTTAACAAAATCTTTATAACCACCCGAGATGAAAGATAGGAAATGCAGAATGCAGTCTAAATGACCGCTTCTGAGGTTTAATTCATCTCTTTATGATGCTTTTTTAATTACAGTTGAAAACATTAAAACTATAGTTGTGTCCAAATCCAGAGGCTGCATCCTGTGAAGGACCTTGTTCAGTCCTTCTGGAGCTGCAGACACAAAGTCAGAATGAAGCAGCAGTTCTAGCTGTTTCTGTCTCCATTGCAGCACAACTTCTGTTGCCTAGCAACCATATGGCATGAGGCATAGATCCGTGAAGCCATTGGAGCCAAAACATGCTTATTTTTTTTATATCCTTTATCATGACATAGAAAGAAAATTGTATAAAATGTACAAATAAAACACCTATTTTAGAAGCTAAAATTTGTTGTTTCATTTATTTCAATGTCTAAGGGAGGAGGCCCAGGGGGAGACCCAGGACAAGCTGGAGGGACTCGGCTGGCCTGGGAGCGCCTTGGGATTGCCCTGGAGGAGCTGGCCCAAGGAAGGTGAGGGATCTGAATTATTATTGTCTGGACAAAAATAAAAAGTCAAACAGGGCCTGCCGTAAGCATTCTTTGTTTTGATTTTTTTTTTTTAAAAGAGCTTAAGAAAAGTGTTCTTTCGGAAACTATATAAGCCTGGGGACTAAATAAAAAAAAATACTATTTGTTTAGAAAAGATTTGTCAAGAACACAAAGTCCAATTTTGAATCCATAATACTGAGGATACATGTAATATTGTCTAGAACCTGACTATCAGATATATGTTGGTTGTTTTTTAAATCCCTCAGGAACTCCAGTAGTTGTACAGATTGCAGGTATGATTTATAGAAATGAAAATATTTATCTAAATATCAAAGAGAATTTGAAGTCAAATAAAACTAAAGCCTTGCTTTAATTTTAGCTCATATTTGTTAAGTAAATACATAATTTAGATAGGCCAAATTTTAAACATTTTTACACCTGACTGAATTACAAATATTTTTTTAGCTTTCAGCTGGTAGTAAAACTCAGGTGTGTACTAAAGCTGATGTGCAAAGAATAAGCTGCCTGATCAAAGAGAGGGAGGTACGACCAATGGGTGGGCTGACAGGTGCCAGAAGCATAATAAACTGAGCAGATATTTGAAGCTAAAAGCTACATTATCACCTAAAAGCATATTGAAAGTTCATTTTTGGTACGAAAGAAAACAAAGCTATCCTTTCATCGATTATCTGCCACATGTGTCCTGATCACAGTCGCTGGTGACCATCTTCATCAATCTATGGTTGAAAGGCAGGGTACACCATGGACAGGTCTCCAGTTCATTGCAGTGCAACAAATGGACATGCAACCATGAACACAGCCACCTTAAGCTGATTTAGAGATGTAATCAACCTAACAGTTATGTTTTTGGACTGCGGGAAAAAGCCAGAGTACCTGGTGAGAGAACCCATGCATGCAACATGAACCCCCTTGAAGCAATGCCAGAAGATCCTACCTTATCACTGAGCTATGATGTAAAAAAAAAACTACAAATAAGGCCTCTTGGCCTGAATTCGGACACTGCTAATATCTACTCAAGGTATGATGCTGACTGGTACAAGCTCTTTGCACGACCCTACTTCACAAAATCTGACCTGCCCCTTTAAGTGAAGCAGTTTATTTTAACCAGCAAGCCTTTCAAAAACTCTCTGTTAAGAATCCAATCTCAAGAAGAGTCATGATGCTACAAGACTCATGCAGTTTAATCTTGATGCCTAATTCTTCATCAACAATCACAGAGATATATAAATGCATATGTTTCATTGTTAACATATTGTAACTAAAATGCATGGAATGCTATCTGCAGATTAGGTTGGTTATCAGTGTAAACATGCACATTTTCAGCACGTATAAATTAAGTAGCAGAAAACAAGAGGAATAATCTTTTTTAACACTATCAAACAAACAAAAAAAATCAGAGCAAAGTGGACTACAGAAAGTATACTTATCGTTTGTTTACCTTTGGAGTACAGCAGGACTTGTGTCTCCAACAGTGCACAGGTAAGTAGTTTAACCATATTGTCCACACCCAGCAGAGAGAACACATCTCCCAGAGGATATTCCCCCAGTGGTAGCTCCCCAGGCCCAGGCCGCTGGCAAACAATGGGCCCCTGCACGCCATGGAACCTCAGTGAGCGTCCAGGTGGAGGCAAGGGCACTTCATACAGGATGTTGTAGACGTAGCTCTCTAAAGGGAGAGGTGGAGCTGTCTGGGATGTTACAGCCTGGTGAAGCTGAGCCAGAAACTGTCGTGAAGCTTGCAGAAAGGGGAGCGGCGTGATGATGCAGAGGGCTTTGGATACATACAGCGTGTCACGCGCTGCGTCGAAGGAGCCCACGCAGCCCAGGCAGCCAGAAACTCCTGATGTTAAAGACTCTGCATCTGACTCCTCCAAGCTGCTGGCAAGTGAGTCCATGCTGGAGGTGGAAGGGGTGGAAGCGGAGGAAGATGCGGAGGATGAAGGGGAGGACACTGAGGAAGAGGAGTGGTGCTCCACGTGGTGCATCTGATAGAGAGTCTGCATGGCTGTGATAATCTGAGGATTAGTCACCTCCTCGAAGAAGGTGTGAACAAAACCGTAGGAGCGTGTTCCATCATCAGAGGCGATGGTGAAGGAGTGAAACTGTGGGTCTAGGCTGTCCGCCTGTGTGCGGAACGACAGACCTCTGGGCAGGCAGAGCTGAAGGCAAAAAAAGCAGCAGAATTAGAAAAAAAAAGGTCCCTTACATTAAGTAGGAAAAAATTATTTCAGTTATGCTGCTTAAACTTAAATAAGAATCTATCAATGATGTATGAAACTACTAAATAAATACGGTTCATCTTGTCAGACAACATTTGCTGTTGATGCACAATAGACAAAATATTTTGAAAAGAAGAGAAACCATTTTCTTATCTGACTAAAAGAGTCTAATAACAGGCAATTAAAACATAAACATTTGTTTTGTCTTTGTATTAAAGGTAAGGACGAGCTTTTATTTTCTGGGCGGATAATCTAAATAAGCGGACCACCTAACTGTCAATCATTCTGGTGATATGTTTATGCAACGCCGTCCGACGTGCGTCACATTAGCTATCTTTTTCTTCGCATGCGCACTTTCGGCCGCATATGTGTGGTGAGCTACGGTTTCAGACAGTCATGAAGTTCACGTTTCTCACAGCGGTTCTTTGAAAATGGTAGAGGGTCGTATAAGAAAAAGTGTCTACGAAGTGTATGAGAAGAAAAGAAAGGCCTCAGAAGAGGCAGATATATCCCAGAATCCTCTGCGAGGAGAGCTATGCTTGCAAAGCTCTTGTGGTGACTAAAAACAAAAAAGGCGCAGGCACCGTGCAGTGAAAGAGGTTTTACATGACCAACAGAGCAAAGAAGCAGTGATCATCTGTCCGAACAGTAAGTTAAACGAGTTTGCTATAAAGTCCACTATATAGTCCTCACTGTATGTGGACACAGTAAGCTTGTATGAGCTATGAGAACAGCACATTTTAAACAGGGCGTGCACGAGGAGAAATTGGCTTGTGCATGCTCTTGCATTTTTTTTTTTTAAAGTGGAGAGGGCGGGTCTTTTAAAAAAATCCTCCAAAATACCTTTAAGATAATCTGTAGTTAATTTATACATACTTTAAAGGAAATAAACATGGCATTTTATGATGTAAAAAAATTTAGAACATGCTTCTTTCTTTAAAACTAATATTACATATGATGCTAATTTAAATAAAATCTTTAAATCATAAATGACCAATTTTGTGTTTTCTTTAAATATTTCAGCTTCTTTATAAGTTAAAGCCATCTGTCAATGATGTAATAAGCACCTGTTGACATGGGCTACGTTCACACTGCAGCCTGAAGTGACCCAAATCAGATTTTTTTTGCCCATATGTGACCTGGATCTGATCTTTTCATGGCAGTCTGAACAACACAGATCTGATTTTTTCCAGTCCAACCCAGGCCACTTGGCTATGTGGTCCTGAATCCAATACAAATCAGATCTTTTCAAATGCGACCTGTGTGTGTGAATGGCCAGGTCGGATTCATCCGACCTGAACGTCATTAATACCCGACAAAGGTCACTATTATGCGTCTTGCTACGCAGAAGCGACAAGAAAAACAACAACCAAGGCAGATGATGATGTGTAGAGCAGTATTTATGTTTAACCATATTGAAAAGTTTTTATGGTTGGAAAAGACCGCTAGATGAGCGCCGGCACTACCATCCATGTTTACTTCCAGAAAAAAAAGAGCATGCTGGCCTGTGGCGTCATTGCGTCCTCTACTGCGCATGCGGGACACTTGCGTTGTATGACTGCAGTTCACACAAGAGATCACATACAAGTCGCATATATTTGGAAATATGAACGGTAACGTAAAAAAATCGGATTTCGCAAAAAAAAATCAGAATTGAGCATCAAGGCCTGCAGTGTGAACGTAGCCATGATGAAACAAGACTTTTTGAGAAGTCACAAGTCACTTTTCTTCTCTGCAGGTTTCAGATAATGCTCTTTGACTGTCACTGACTCAGCCAATTAAAATGTTGTGCATCAAGGACAATTATAAAGCATCAAGTGGCCAGATGTTATTGGCATGCAGAGTGTGAATGCACTTCAAGGACAATATCAAACCAAATCACTCCGTCCATGCTTCATTGGTATGCTGCAAACAGTTATATGGCAATACAAAACTGGGATCTAATCAATTTTTAAGCTCTGTTGAGTAGGAAAACACATCAAACTCCTCACCATGTTGACAGCATCTTTGTTGAAGGGGTTTCTGTCTGTGTTCTCCGGGTAGTGAACCAGAACCTTTGACTTGAAGGACCGTCGAATTGGGCTCTGCTCGAAACCCTCACCTGACAGACAGAGAAAAGGTGGAAGGCTGTTTTTATAATTGTGCAGGAATGAGCCATGAAATCAGAGCTTATTATGGTACATAAAAGAGGAGAGATGCATAACTCAGACAGGATATCCTTGTCTGGTGCAGAGAGGACACAGAAAGTAATTTTTTTGTTGGCAGCAAGGATGATGCTGCTGTAAACATGGAAGAAGAACCCCGGTAAAGGTTATGCAACTCATTAACAAGAGGACAGAAAAAAAGATGGGGGGAAAAGGGATATATCACTGTTCCTCATTAAGATTCTGCATGAACTGAATTCTTTTTATGCATAATATAGTTACAGTACATATATTCAGTCCTCTTCTGTCCAGTTCTGCAACACTAAATCTGCCTGACTGACAACTTTAAGATGCCTATGTCTGCTGTGAGGTATGACGCAGTAGTTTCAGGCTTCAGGAAAGTCTGCCTCACCTGCCTACAAAATGACGCACAGGACGCTTAGACAGGAGACTGCAGCATGGAGCGAGAACAGAGCACAGCCCCACATTAGGCTGAGTCAGTTTGGTAGGTGGGAGGAAACAAAGAAGGAAGGGGGAGTCAGGGTTCTTTACTAAAGGAGCGAGAGGGGGCTTATAGGCGAGTGGGATTCTTGTTTCCATGGCACCCATTTCCGCTCTGGCTACGAAGACAGCCATTTAGAAAAATAAATTATAAAATCAAAACAGAAAAAGCTTCCTGTGCATGTTAGCAGTTACGTCATCTTTACCCAGCAAAATAAAACCTCACTAACCTCCTGTTGCATGTTCCCACAGAGGAATTGGCTCAGACAAGATAAGCAACATGTGTAGATGCTATTGACCGCATAATGGGGCAGAGGGAGGAGGGGGGAGGTTTGTTTTAGCACTAGGATCAAGTAGTAAATATCTGTTTCTCTTTGGCTGTAATCACCAGCTCATGTATATACATTCAAACAACACATACCACTTTGCAAGGCTTTTTTTTTGCTGCATTTTGCTAATGCAAATTAAAATTTAATGTTGGCTATCTATTTTTTTTTTTTTTTTAGAATTTAATGTGATAGATCAACATAAAAAGGTGCCTAATTTAAAAGCGGAGAGAAAATGTCATATGTTTTTAAGTTTGTTATTTTCCTTCTAATATGACACAGTGGCATACATGTGAATTTAACAAAAACAATACTGTACCTACATTACAACTGAAAATCTTTTAGGACATGCCTCTGCCTGGTTTTCATATCTAAACTGTTATTCAGAACATATTAATGGAGAGCAAATGGGGAGCGCTCACCTCAAGTTAATACCACACATTCTCAATTGGATTTAGTTCTGGACTTTGACTCGGACATTCAAACATATGTATACATTCCTGTGTAGCTATAGCTGTATGTTTAGGGTTGCTATCCTGCAAGAAGGACCTTCCCATCACCAAAGTCTATTCAAAGTGTCTTCTATGAAGTCTTTCTTCAAGGGTTGTCATTTTTAATGAATTTATTTTTTTACATATCTTCCCACAGTATGACACTGCCAACACCATGCTTCCAAGTAACGACAGAAGCATAGTGTTGGTGGAGTCATGCTGTGGATTTTTGGGATGTTCAGATGTAAAGATAAAAACACTTTCTTTCAAATTGTAAACAAGACTCCCTAAAGCTTTTCCTTGTCACTCATAAAAGCCAGATTTGTTGAGCAAACAAATAACAGTGTTCCTTTTTGGAAGTTTTATCCAACTCAGCTGTTGACTTGCACTAGAGGTTTCATTCCTTGCCTCTAATGCTCTCCTTGCCTGGCTAGTCAGTGAAAGTGAAAAGCCAGGTCTATATAGTTATTACAAAGAAATGGGGGGAATAAATACACATCTCAGTTTTACAGATTTCTATCACCTAAACCCCATTTATCAACTTCTTTCAAGTTCAAAACAATACACTAATTTTTCTTGAGCTATCACAACAAACCCCAATAAAACAGTAAGGGATCTGTTTTTTTTAGAGCAACAAAACAGTGATATAATTTTAGGCATATTAATATATTTGCAATGAAATATAGTCTTTATTTCACTTTTCTTTTTTCAATTTTTGTATATAAACATAAAGGATTCAACTAAAATCAGGACCTTGCTCAAAAAGACAACAGAAAAAAAAAATAACAAAATGGTATCGGCTAGGGTTGAGTAGATCATATATTTGTCCTTTCCCAGAGGGTGAAGTAGCATGACATATACTATGTGTTTTCTTTAGGAGATTAGCATCAAGTTTCTCAGAATATATTTAACCCAAGCTGGATTTTCTGCACACAAGCATCAGATCTATTATTAGACAAATGGTTGCATCTCTCTGCAGTCAGCTTTACATTTTAAAGCAGCTCTGTTCAGCTACAGAGATCTCACCCTGCTGCACTGATGTCATCCCTCCCCCCTCTGTGACCGCCACCGGGCCTGAAGCCTCGGCCGTCCAGCATTCCAACAGGCAGCATCATGTGAAATTTGATTAGGCTGCAGAAAACACAGCGGCATCCATTGAGAAGCTAACAAGAGCAGATTGTCTCTTGGTGGGCTTTCACTAATTACACCAACGCACAAAAGGAGTGATACAGTATTACCTCACCATGGCTTGTACAAGACATGTCCACATGATTTTTAATCTCTGGATCTCAGGAATTTGCTTATAAAGAGACAAAACCTCACAAAGACACAGAATGAAATCCCTTGAAAGAAGCAGGAGCAGAGCCCCCTGGCCTGCTGTTACATAAGCAGATTGTGGGGAGCTCAAATATACAACCAACTGGTATGGTCACTCACAGCAGGGGGGGTTGCAGACCAACTGCTTAGTGCAACCCATTATTAGAAAGCTGTGCATAAGAATCTAATAAGAATTTAAATTTGATTAAGAGTGCAAATAATAACAAAAACAGTTTACATGAAAACAATCCTTCTTCCAGGTTTTTTTTTCTCATTAGATTTGTGACTTTAACCATACAGGAATCCTGGAGGGAGGGATCCATATTAAAACTTTGAATACTTTGGATTATCATTCTTATTTTTGTGTTTATATAGTTGCAAAAAGGAAAAAGAAAAAATCACATCCTGAAGATTTTTTGAGCCAAATCTAAAATGCAAAAAAAAAAACTGATTCAGCAAAGCATTAGGTGTATTACTTTGTTTCGGAAGCAATCAACCAACCGGCTGTTTCACATCACTTATAGGACAGATTCCAGTTCATGATAGCACACTTAATCTCCCATGTACGACATATGTAAGGAGCACCACAAGGCTCTGTTCTCAAACCACTAAACTTCACTATTAATCCTTTTGTTAATCTATTTGACAACAGAACATTGGCTGACAATGTTCTGTTGTCAGAAGAATACTTTAAAAGAAACTAAACAAAAAAATTAAAATAAACTTAACAAGCAGCTTCTCAAACCTGGACATGATGGTGAAAGAACAGCGACAGATAGACTGCTCTCTGTAGCTTCATAGCCGAGATTTTCCTTATCTTTATATTAAAAAAAAAAAGTAATCATTCTAAAAATGTGGGATATAATCCTATAGAGCTGATGAAATTATACATATAACTATATGATTAGAAATTTCTAGGTGTAACAAAAATATTACATTGTAAGATATGAATCTGAAAGCAGCTAAAATGCAAACATTTAATCTGAATAAAGAACATTGTGTTCCTCTTTTAAAAGAAATTCGGTGCTGATTATAATTATGGCCAAAGACTAAGGTAATTAGGATTCTTTCCCCCAAAAAATAGAAGAGCTTGAGCTGAATTAAAAGTTTCATCAATGACTTAATGCCACAAATGAAGCCAAAACTGTCTGCTTTTAGCCACATTTTCCCCCTGAGGAGCTGCTCTAAAGGAGAGGACAAGAGGAAGAGGGGTGTGACTATTGTCTGCTGCTCCAGGACTACAACCTGGAAGTGACGTTGAAGTTATTCAACACACTCTGTTCTGTTTCCTCACAAAACCTCCAGGACACAGACAGGCAACATAAAAAAACAACCAGAACAACACGTTAAAAGGAATAAATAACGTTCAGTGCTGATGCCACTCATACACCTTTCTCATCCTTTCTGGCCAAAACAAATCTGGTTTAGATAACAGAATATCATGTCTGCTATGCAAAGAAGCCAAAACATGGATTGTTATCTGCTTAGAACAGAACAATCCAAATAGCAAAACCTCTTGGTCTTTATTTTCCAGCTGTTTTCCAGTCTTAATTTGCAGGACATGATGTTGTTGTTTGTCTATAATGAAGCAGACCGTAATTCAAGTGTTTAACATTGGATTATTGAAAAACAACAAAATATTCTGGACTGCTGTCATTAAATTAGGATAAAATTTTGGATACTGTACCTTGTTTTTCACAGGCAGGGTGAGACAAAAAGGAGATAACTAAAAAATATGAGCTGTCACTGTAAAATTGTTTTCCAGATCTGTTTTAACTCATGTTTCCTAGACAATGTTAGGTCTGCAGGGATATTTTTTAAAAGGTTACATCAGAGGGATCCTATATATAATGTTATATAAACAGTAGTACATAGTAGTACATATATTTATTTTAAATAGGGCACCCACACAAATAACATTTCCAACAAAACAACAGATTTTGAATCCAAATGAGACACATTGGAATTGGCTTAACAAGAGGATCGTGTATAATTATTATTTTATAATGTTAAATCTGCTGTATTTACCGGCTCCATCGTCTGGCTCCAGGCCCGTCTCAGTGTCCACTCCACACACGACAAAATAGTGGGCGAAGCGGCAGGAAGGCGACCCACCCGTGGCAGCTGTGGTTCCGTTCATTTCGATGCGCTGATGGCTGTGACAGCTGCGGGGTTTTCTTCTATTACTGGAGCCTAAAGCTGGAGATTTTCATAGTGGACTGGGCTCATAATCCGAATTAGATCCCCGCTCTTCGGTTCGGCAGTGTGAACGCTGTGATCCGCTTTCTGAGTGTGATGGAGTCCGGACGATCCAGCGATGGTCATCACGTTGTTCACAGAGGAGGAGGAGGAGGAGCGCTGGGTGGGAGGAGAGAGAGAGGAAGAGGAGTGGGAGGAAGGAAGGGAGACAAAGACAAAAAAATCCGACGCGTCTCCACTAAATCTGCTGCATTTTTAAAGGTCTTTCACTCATTAAGAAAAATAAATTAATATAACTGACATAATCTTATTGTTTATGCTGCACTCTGAGAAAAAACAAAAAATGAAAAAGGATATATGCTCAATTCAGTCAAAATAAAAGCAAAAAAAAAAAAAAAGACAAGTCATGCCAGGTAGGCCTAATTATATTTGGATGGATCATTTTTGCACAGTTAAAATTTTATTCTATTGTTTGGTTTTTATCTCATTTAAAGGATTTGAGTAAACACTGCCAGGGAAAGGTTAGATTCAAATACTGGAGATTTCACATCAAAGGTATTTTGTGACAATTGTAAAAAAAAAAAAAAATGCTTAAAAAAAGATTCTATTGTTAAACATTTTTGTTTAACTGAAACAAATAAGCTTTAAATAATTTAAGAATCCTAAATTTTATTTTTACGGCAGTTTGTGGACATGTAGACAAAAGAAGGTCTCCAGTAGGATTCCTAACATTGGTATGGAAGAGGAATAGGGCCACTGAAAAAAAAGAAAAAAGTTTACTGATTTTTAAATTTTATTTCAGTATGAGAAAAAAGTCAGAATTCTGGCTTTTTTCTCAGAATTCTGACTTTAATCTCAGAATTTGGGATTTTAATCTAGAAGAGCACTATGAAGGAAGAGATGTAGGAGCACTCAGCTTCACTGACAAAGATGTGAGTTGTTTGAGAGGGTCAGTGACACATCGGTGGAAAATCACGGAATTAGGTGACTTTCCCCGGTGATACTATTTCATTAATGGAAGAGCAGAAGGTGATTAAAACAAGAGAGCTAGTTTAGTCTTTAAAAAAGACATGGATACGGCTCAATGCTAACATGTATGTTAGCCGTCAGAATTCAGCCAGAATTCTGAGATTAACGTCAGAATTCTGAGATTAAAGTCAGAATTCTGAGATTAAAGTCAGAATTCTGAGATTAAAGTCAGAATTCTGAGATTAAAGTCAGAATTCTGACTTTTTTCCCCATATTATACTGAGATAAAATTTTAAAATCAGTGAAATAAATAATTAAAAAAAAAAAAATTTCAGTGGCCCTAATCCTCTTCCGTACCATTGGGTCTTTCTGCACACTGAATTTTTTTTTTGCCATTTCTTAATCATTTTAGTTACTTTAACACAATTGTTTCATGTTGGCAGGGTAGGACATAAAACAATTGTGTTAAAGTAACTAAATATGGTTTAGTAAGTGCCAAAAGCGGTTGCCTTATTTTTTTTTCAGTGCATGGAGTTTGCATGTTCTTGCTGTGTATGGGTGGGTTCTCTCCAGGTACTCCAGCTTCCTCCTACATTCCAAAAACATGACTTAGGTTGATTGGTGTCTTTAAATTGCCCTTAGGTGTGTGTGCATGTGTGTTTCTCCTAAATGTTTCATATAATAAGAAAACATAAATATCAGACAACCTGGCTAAATACAATATGCAGTTTTCCAAAAACGATTTCACATAATTTTTCTTTTTATTCACTGGAAGAGCAACCGAGAGAAAGTTCAGTCTAAAGCCATTGTTTAAAAAAAAAAAAAAAAAAAAAGGCTTACATTTGCTGAAATAACATTTTGATGAACCTCAAGACTTCATGTAAAATATTTTGGCAATCGTGAAGGTTGATGTTTTCTTTCATCTTGTATACAGCTGTGCTGCGACAAAAATCTTTGCTCTGACAATCTGTCCACTGCTAACGGTTTTTTAAGTGTTGTATTTTATTCCGATGAAACTTTGCAAACCCATGGCATGTTGCTATTATCTTAAAATAACTCTACTGGAAACTCCTGTTTCATGAGTTTATCAAAATCATTCTGCTGAAGCATGGTTGGAAATTAATGTCTGACTTTCATTTATTCATTTTCATTGATTTGTCCACATGTATATACCATACACTGCAAAAACGTTCTTAAAATAAGTTAAAAAAAAATTCTTTAAGCATATTTAGCCTTAATTGGAGTCGGTAAAAAAGATGATTGGCCAATGGAATTAGTTTTTTACTCTTATAATAGAATAACTTGATAAGATCTACTTATAAGACAAAGATACGCACAAATAAGACAAAGCAATTGTTTTTTTAATTTAAATGTAAATTGCCTTCCTCCACGGGCAAAGTGTCCCTCTTACCTTAGATTTCTCTCTTTGCAGTGTATAAGTGATAAGAATAAAACCAGAATCTAAATTGTTTCATTAATATAGGTCTTTTTGAAAGCAAAATAACTTAACATGTAAATGATCACATTGTAAAAACAAAAAGTTAAAATTAGGGAAGGAGTCACCATAAAACAAACACCAAATGTGTCGTCAAATTTATTGAACAATTTCCAGATAAAACATTCTCTAATCAGGGAAAACCATAATGACCTGACTGATAAATACTATAAACTAGTCACGATCAGCATCCTGCCATTTAGATTTGGTAAACCATAGTTACCTGAGATAAGTCTGGTTTTAATAAACAGGTGTCCAAAAATAAAAAGTGCAGCATATTTATCATCTAGACTCAGCTTTGTTACTAATATCTTACATGTAGAGCTATACAGTCAAATACTAATAAGCTACACAATAGGCGATCCCTCACTTTCTTTCCTATTAGTGCATAGATTTATATAATAATACATCTAGTTCACATTCATCACTGCATATATATAACCAGGTTATGTATAAACAGCTGTCATCAGTCCAACTTTTACAAGCTGCATCTCTGCCTGAATTTTGTGAAGTCATATCACAGTTTTTGGCCAATCACGTATCTTCCTCCTTCTCGGGGGCTTTTAAAGATGACATCTCCCCGTTCATGCATTGAATATCACACCCATTTCCTTCAGGCAGTCGTCGTTCAGAGTTCATCCTGGTTTATATCTACCGGGCTCGCTATAACTCTGCTATATGGTGCTGAGACAAGCGGCTAAACTTTAAAGTCCTCGTTATTAACTCTACTTCCTCTCCTTTATATCCTCAGCCATGTCAGTTTAAAACTTACTTCTAGCTGCCTAAAGCAGGAAGGGTTTTTTCATTAAGAAATTCTGATGAATACTTATGTTTTAGTTTCTTTAAAACCCTTCATGTCCATCAATCATTAGTTTGCAGTAAATCCATTCAGTGGAGAAACTGCCTCGCCTCTATGAACCACAGATGTTTGAGTAAAGAAGAATAGAGTACAACAAACTTGGCAGTTGGCTTTGATTTCTTAAATCTAAAGTACATCTTCAGTTGTAATTACGTTTTTTTTTTAGAAATTATTTGTGGAAGTTTCAGGAAAATAGATTTTTCATAAAAGCTTGACAGTAGTGAACAAAACAAGGGGGTGGGGCTTTTGAGAAATGGCGTTCTTACATACTGATCAAACAGCAGTTTCATTTTTAGCAAATTCACTAAATATACTAGAAAACGGGAGTGTTTGATATTAAACTGAATTTAGTTGCGAGATACAACAGTAATGATTTAAGGAACACTGGAGATCAATTGTATTGCTTAGTTCCAACAGGAGGCCAAGTGCAATCCGCATGGAGTTCAATGTCTATGAAGATCAAGTTAAAGACTAATGACTGGCAGGTAGACGGGAGGGAGGTCTAGGTCAATATACGGGCTACTTGGGCTTGAATTTCCCTGTCAGGGTGTGAAAGCAGCTGGACAAGTTTGCTGTGCAGCTGTGAAGTTTCATCCAGCATGACCCTGAAGAGACAATCCTGTTTCTGTCTGAGTTCATCAGCCACCTGTGCCGAGGGCCGCCAGGCCTTCAAGTTCCCTACAAATGTGAGCAGGCGCAGGAGCACCGCAGGAGATGTCCGTTCGTCAACCAAAACCAGGACAGAAGCTGGAGCCTGGGTAAAAAGAAAGAAAGACATCAGTTTTATTTTTTGGCAGAAAGCTACGCTACCTGACTGTTGAATCTTCACAAAGACCATAAATGATTACCTGAGCTTGAACTATGTCATCCATCATATCTGGATTAGAAGATAAATTCACAAGAACTTTCAGGGTCTGAACCTGAAAGAGAAACATTACAAGAGATTTACAAATTTCCTCCTGGCCATGACAGCTTAACACTAATTTAATGCTTTGTGCTTTGCATGTTTTAACAGGATATTTTCAAGGCATCTAAAGGATATAATTGATTTTACAAACCTGTAGCCTTTCGTTGCTAACAACCAGCAGGGACAATAAGAGAGTGACCGACTCCTTTAGCAAATGCTGATGTTTGTCAGTCACTGAGAGGTTCGTCAGCAGCCTCAGAGCCCCCAGCTGAAGGTCGGAGTTCACTGGTGACATTTCAATCAGTTCCAGCACTTGTGGCACGTAAAGCTTCAGTACAAGAATGATACAAAGAAAAGCTATAGAGAGACATTGATACATCAAAAAGTATGGTCTAATTGAGGTGCAAAGGTTTATTTGGGGCATAATGCAACATACCTTTATTTGCTCCTGGTTTTGGATATTCATACAAAGATTATTTAAAGCATTCAGAGCTTGCACTCTAACCTCCAGAGCCGGGTCAGAAAGGAGGCCAGCTATGACAGGAATCCCCTCCAACTCCCGAATTTGGTTCTGGGAAAAAAATAAATAAAATAAAAGTGATATAAAAGCTGTGGGTTACAAATAAATAAATAAATGGCATTTAAGATTGTCTTTAGTTCCATTTATTCACGCCCCTCTGTTGGTTGTTAAACCCGTTTTGCACAGCAACAGCTTGACCAGGCTTTCATGTTCCTCACAGATCTCTCAATAAGATTGTGAACTGACTCATTTTTATTAAATCCAATTCAGTTTATTTATATACCAATCCATGCCATGTCATCTTCACAGAGACAATTCAATCAGATTCAATTTTCCTTGCATAAAAATGCTATTTTTTTAATATTCTATATTTTGGGTATAATTCAGTTGACCTCTCCAACTCACTACACTTGTTGTGCATGCTGTGGTTTGCAACTGTGTAAAATTTCAGATCCAAGATTGTATGACTTCGGTAGATGACACTTTGCTGTGTGTTCTTGAAAACAATACCCATTTTCAGAACACCAGTTATGTAAATAAGTGTGATTTTTAACACTAAGCTGCAGAGGAGTAGCTGCATTCAATCATATTTATTGTATTTATCAACACTATAAAAACTAAGTGCATAGAAAAGTAAAACTATCAATTTGAACAATTTAGACATTCTTGCAAAATTTTCTAATATCTTAAACTTTTGATATGAAATATATCACAAAAAAATAATAAATAGCAACGTCTATTCAGAAAAAGTATGGCATTCCTTAACCAGGGTTTATAGAGGAACGAGTAGCTCAAATTTAATGCTTTTTTAATGCTCTTAGAAATTATTTTAATGCTATCAACAAGAACCCGTGAATCTATATATATATATATATATATATATATATATATATATATACACACACCATATTACTATCAACATGCTGCAGCCATGGCCTGAATTTCCAGCCACTTTTGTTGAAATTTGCATTTCCACATTCTCTACCTTATTCTCTGCCTCAAGCTTCTTTTACAAACATACGGCTTTACTATCAATTGGAAGCAATTCCACGCAAACAAGCGGAATCAGTTATATCTAATATATCTGATGAAGTAGCTTTTTTTTAAAGCAATTTAAATGCCATGATAATCACATTTAATGAATATTAATGCCAATTAAGGCCTCGATTTAAAAAAAATATTTAAAGACTTTTAATGATTTTTAATGACCCATGGAAACCCTGTAAACAAAAAAACAGTTTTTTGTGTTATATATCCAGTGATTGTTCTCCAGACTATCTGAACTTAAGAGGAAACTCTCCTACAGTGAAGTGTGGAGATTTTTTTTTGTTACTTCCTATACCATCCTGCTTACCGTTTGCAATTAAAAGATAAATATGCATCATCATGAAGACTAGTGGCAATAATACCCTGTGCAATAACCCTGTTATATATATATATATGTGTGGGTGTATGCACTGTATATACCCCCATGCACCTTTTCTTCCTTTTGGCAACTTCTTTATGACTATTGAGCCGATGTGACAAGTGAATTTCTCCACTGTGAGATTAATAAAGTCTATTTTATATCAATTGTCCAAGGGTCGCATTCATAATCAAGGGTTTTAAAATTAAATATATAAAAAGAAAACCATCCATCCACGCCATTGTTATTAATAAATCTTTACTAAAAGCTCTGATCATTGTGGAGGAAGCTGGTTAAATAAATTGTACCTGATTTACAGTGAAGGCAGCAGCATTTCCCAATGTTAGAAGAAACTGAGAGCGATCAGCTGGATCCTCACTGGTCTGCAGGCGTGACAGCAGCATCTTCAAGTGATGTAGCTCAAGTTTGTTGGGGGATTGATGGATGATCTCCGCTTTAGTGGGAAAAAGAAAAGAAACATTTTTTTTTTCAGCGCTGAGTTTTGCTTACTATGCTAAAAAGGGTTGATATTGCCACTTTTAAATAAAATCTTCGAAGAATTATGTTTATACAAGTCTGGATAACATCCAAAGACTTGGAAAATACTGTGGTTGAAGTAGTGTGGTTAACTTTTTACAGTCGTGGTCCATATTCTTGAAATAATATTTACCTGATGCAGCATCATCTGGTCGAGCACAGACAACATCCAGCCCGGATACTTTAGCTAGCAGGCTCCCCGGCCGTGGCTTTATTCCCCCCTGCTGGCTGCTCTTCACACCAGGACTTTCGTTTGGGGGAATTTTCTTGGTTTTCTTAAAAACCTGCCCGCTGAAGAGTTTATAAAGCCCATAAGAGGCGCCAGCTCCAGCAATAATTCCCAGAAGAGCCTTCATGTTGCCGATCTTTGGAACTACACTGCCATCACCCATGCTGCTGATCTCTGCTAACCGCTAAGCAGTTAGCTGCAGCTACGACAAACGTTTTAAAAATTAATGTGAATAAAAGTCGATGTGTTAACCCGCACCCGTTACAAACCCTATCATGAAACAATTAAACGCGTTCATTGTAATAAAACTACACAACTTATCCGAAAAGCTACAGTTGTCAATTTCATCATTTGTTGCTGACCCGTTTTATAATGGCCAACCAAAACTTTCCCTGAGTGAATTACATGACGTGAACTGATTTGGTGTTTTGAGATATATTTATCGATGCTGATTTATTCAGAATGTTGAAGCTCCTTGAAAATACACTACTTCTTAAAACTAGTGAATTTTGAATAGAAAAAAATAAACAAAAAATAAACACCACCAATAGTTTTAGTTGTCCAATATTTATCATTTTGCCAAGCTGATTAACAGCCTTTCTTAAATAAAGCTTGTGACCTCACAGCCCAGTTGAGTATATTAAAGTGTCAAATAGTCATTGTAGTTTATTGTAGGTCTTTTGAGTTTTCAGCTGGAAATGGATCAAGAAATGCCACTTGAACCCCCTTAGGTCTGACTGTGAAAGGTCACAGAGGTCCCTGGGTTTGGTATCACCACAGCTGCACAGTAAAATATTGCATGTATTTGTTGTAAACCATTTACTAGCACAACACTAATGTGGGACTTTCATAATCGGATATCCAACTAATCCAAAACATCACATTTGCAAGTCAGTAAAACAAATACAATTTGTCAGTGTTGGTTATAACCATTATTAGCTAATGATCAATTTATTTTGAATTTGTGCTTGCACACACAAAAGGAACAGGTCAATACAAATAAAGATTGAATATTAGGTATTGTGTGTTCGGATACAAAATGCTTCATACCTAGAACTTTTTCAAAGTACCACTCATATATACAGTAGTTTCCCAATCAGGACTGCTTGTTGATCCACCTTTCCCAGTTACAATTTCCACTCCAAGTCTTGTTCTTGTTGCACTTCTGAATGGCATATTTTCACAGAAAAAGTCAAGTATCATCTTGCACTTTCACCCTGAAGCCAAATTTGAGTTCATAATTGAAAATGCAACTTTGCCCAATGAAGTAAAGAAGTTAGTTGGAGGCAACCATACATTGCTTGGTGGAACGCAGCCTTGACAATGTGTAACTGAAGGGGAAAAGCCTACAGGGAAATCTATGTTTTTTTTTTTTTTTTTTTTTTTTTTTTTTTTATAAATGCTTTAGTGCAACTGGATGAAATTATTTTAATTTTTTACCAAATTAGCAGTCAGTATAAATGTCCCTGCCACATTAAACTTGTCAACACAAAAGAACTAAATAGGATCTAAAACCTGAAGAAAAAAAAAAAACAGTGCATCTTATACATGGTGACCAATTAAGATACAAACATTTAATTATTTAAAATCAGAACTTTGATTGCAGCAGGATGTCTTATTTCTTTAAGATTGATCTTATAAATATCAACCTCTTATGACATATTGACCTCACCATTATTAGTGGCCTCAGAGGAAGTTTAATAAATGTGCAAATGTATTACCATACCAGTAGCCGTGTTTTGGCTACAGCTACCTAGAAACTATGAATTTACTAAATGAAATACCTTTTAAAAAATGCAGAAAAGCATCCACATCATTTAAATCACCACTTTAAACCACTATTTTTTTTTATTTTTATAAACCATTTTAAAATAACGTGGTAGGCTACTTTATTTTAACTCTAGTTAATGTCAGCTTCCTCTGTCCCGTCCCAAAGACCCGAGCCAGTTTAATATAAACGTGTTTAATGCATTCCAGGGACGTAATCATCTACAAGCCATCGACTGGTATGGTATTTACCTCCTGTAGTACCCAAAACAAACGCATGGTGGCCCCCATGTTTGTCCATGTAATGTAAACCCATTACACTAAACTATTAGGCACTAAAAGTAAAAATGTTTTCTAGATAAAGGAGTTTTACAACTCATTTTAAAAGTCAATTTTTTTTTTTTTTTTTTTTTTTGGGGGGGGGGGCAAAAAAAAAAAAAGAAAAAACTTCACAGCACTATTGTACAAGGATGCAAACATTTAAATTACATTGAACAGACTTTTGTTGTACATGAGCTTCAAGGTGCTTGAATTTCGATGTCTAGTGCATTTAATATTTACAACTGAAATTTAGCTTTTGAGAATGATTACATTGCTTTTGTCACCAAACAAAGTGTTGACAATTAAAGTCTCCCTCTCTTCCTTTCATTTCAGTTTCACTGCTGACCAAAAAGGTATTTGGAAACAATTGTCAAAACAGTTTGTTACAAGCTCTTCCAACTTCAAAACTGTATCAAAAATAGAAAATGTAACATACCATTTTGTGACTTCAAGAAAAGTCCTTTTGAATAGCGAGGTGTGCAGTTTATTAGCAAGTCCTTTTATGGTAGATATCCATTGTCCATTGAGATGGCTTGTAGCAGGTCCTCGACAGGAAAGTTTTAGCCCTTTCAAAGTTTTTTTTGGACCTAACGTATAGATTTACAGAGGACCGTGGTGAGTTTTTGGGCGTTGGGGGGTAAATTCCTTTTTTCTTCCAAGTTTTATAATTCAAATCTTTTGCTGTGGGTTCAGAAAACAGCTTTAAGGGCCAAGAAGCAAAGTTAGTAGGCTCTGCTTTCATGGAGTTGGTGAGCATATGCAAGTTCTCTGACTGGCTTATGGGCTTTACCAAGCCAGCTTTCATTGCATCATAGTCTCCATTTAGGTGAAGGAATCGATCTTGCGCAGAAAGACTAGTCCGAGGTGAGATCTTTTTTTTATAGACAGAATTCATGTTTTTATGTTGAGTTAGAACACTTCCATTTAGCTTGTAGTGGAAGGGATTCTTTTTGTGTCCTGTGTTGGCAGCCAGAATAAAGGGACTAGCGTTATATTTGCTCGAATGTCCAATTGAGCCATGTAGAGGACTCTGAGGTTTCAAATTAAATCCCAGGTGAGATCCATCTTGTTCCTTGTGCAGTTGTTTGGCTTCCAACCCCAGACTTGGGGAAAGGGATTTAGAATTTGATGCTATATCAGGAGGTACAGTTAATGATGAGGGAGGATACCATCCATGCTCTGATTTCTTTCCAAAATCAGATTTGAACATTTGGAGGGACGGAGAGGTTTTCCTCTTTTTTATCCCTTCATAATTTGGGACATGACTCTTTATTGGTAAGACATAATTCAGAGATGGGGGTTTAGGTAGAGAAAGGAGAGGATGTTGACCCATTTTGAGGAAATGCTCCCCATTGTTAAAGCCAGGTGAAAATACAGCCATGTTCTTTGTCTTATAACCCTTTGGCCTGCGACTCAAATGAGCAGAATTGGATTTCTTCTTTGAAATTATGAAATCTTTAGACGGAATCTTAAAGGCATGGAAAGTAGCTGCAGGCATATGACCCATGAATGAATCCTCACCAGAGAATATGTTTAAGGGGAAGTCTCTTTGCTTTGATTGCATGAAGCCTGACTGAACAGCTTTGTTTTTGGGAAAACTAAAAAAATCGTTTCCACCAGGAAGAAGATTTGGTAGGTAATTCAAAAGAAGCTCCGGTTCAGAAAAGCCATTATATGGATGGTGAGGAGATTGCCTGATAAATACTTGTTTTCCATGAAGAGTAGCAGGAATTAGTTTTTGCCACTTTTCACTCTCAGGCTTGTCTTTATCCACTAGATCCGTTTGGCTTTGCAGCATCTTGTAAGGAAAACTGCCAAAAGAACCAAAATGCATCCCATTATTGTAAAAAAATGGCTCACTCCGCGGCAAAAGAAAGCTTTGCTTCTTAAATACATCCATCTCCTTCTCATATGTTTGCTTTAAATAATTCCTAGGATTAACCTGCCTGGAAAGCTCTGGGCTCTTGTGCAGATTATATGCATTGGCAATACTGTAACCTGTCAGACAGGGAAAAAAAAAATAACACACTGTTTAACTGGGATTTTTAAATGGAAGCAAAAGTTTTTGGTATGCTTACCAGTTTGACAAGGAAAGCAAATGCTGGTCCATAAAAGCATGCAAAGCCAGAGAACCCTGAAATAGAAAAATATTTCACAAATATAAAGTGAAAAGATGACTTAGGTTAAAAAAAAAAATCTGTACAATTGCTGATACCCATATGAAAGATCCATGATAGCACATTCACTGAACAGGGAGCTCTGATGAGAACAGCAGCTGGCTTTTTGACCATCTGATTAATTACCAGCAGCTGCAGCAGCTTTCCAAAGGAATGCACTTTGTTTTTATGTTTGCTGTTCTTGAGTATCTGTTTTACTAGTTGAAAATATTTTCTTCCATAGATCGATTTTAAAAAGTTAAAGTCTTCATACTGATATCCTATTTGACTGGATGACTATTTTATTGTTATTTTTCCTGTTGTTAAAACTGACACAAATATGCTAAAACTCTGCAACATCAAATATTGATCAGAATATATTACTTAGAATGGGCTGGGTCCTGTTTAATTGATGCTGGGACCCCTCACAATGACTCTTTGTCCCTGTTTACTGAATTAATGATGAGATGTGATGTTACAGGGGGTGGACCAGGTTCTTCCTGCAGAGGAAACAAGACCACACAAAGCTGGCTCTGAAGATGGACAAAGGTGCACTTTGAGAGAAGGTGCCAACATTCACCAATTGACTGACCTGGGTGGGAATACACAGGAGGAGGAAAGCGGGTATGTGATAGTGAGAAATCCTAACAAAGGTTGCTGTTTTATTTGTGTTTGGAAGCCGTCCCATTCACATCAGTCAGGCCAGAGAAAACATTTGTTGTGGTATGCGTCTAAGTTAAAAGTTTTTCCAGATGCATTTGGATTATCATTCTTGTTAACTCCTCTTTTTTTCCTCTTATCAGCCTCATCTTTCACTTTGTTATGTAGCTGGCGATTAGCAATAAATTCTCACCTTTTATTGGACGTGTGTATAAATTCTTTTCAAATAAATAAATTTTAAAACACTGCCTCCCGATGCTACACCTCACTGACTGTGTGTAACTACACTCTCTTTTAAAAGCATTACACTAGAAAACAAAAATACAAACACATCCAGACTTACAGAACAGGGTCAGCATGGGATGCTCTGTAGGTAATGTATTTTTAATGCATCAAAGGAAAACACAGGGTGCAAAAAGATCAACTTTGTATGTGAATTAATAAAATATTAGGGTAAGCATATCATACTCCTTGGGGTCAGCCTGAGGTGGTCGGGCCAGTTAATGTAAATATGCCATTCAGTTCCTGCCCTAAATTTATAAGGAACATGAGGTTAAAAAATCTTTTTGTTATTACTGCTATTGTGAGACTTCAGACTAGTGAACACCTGCCGTCTTAAGCTTCTTCTTTGCAGCTTGGCATACTGTTGCAAAGAACTCAAAGAGAGCAAAAGAGTACTTCAAGGTAATAAGGATATTCCTAATATAGTCATCTAGAAATTTGGTTTTACTTTTACCAGTTGTTTTTGTGTGTTTGTTGTAACATGGATCTTGCAGAGGATGGAACTAAGTGACACAGAGTTCAACGGTAAGGACCAGCTATCTCCATCTGAAGAAAGAGTCCGTGGAGACTCAGTACTCCCCCCTCACCTCTTACTGAAGGTAGCTCCTCTGCAGCTCTCACCATCTGTTACATGGTAAACTGGTGACTGGTCTGTACCTATGCTGCACTTTTTAGACTTTACCAAAGATATTTCTGAGATATTTTCTATGACATCAGACTTCTGCTGCTCGACATATTTTAAGGCTCTTTGTGTGATTAAACTCACATGCAGATCATTATAGTTTTATTATTGTCTGTGTTTCATGCATATATTTATACACCCTCTATATGGATTACAGAATGTATCGTTTTTACTTGGCCTGTTATTAACAAAGCTTGCTCTTTTCACTTTTAGCCTTTGTTTGTTTTGGATTTCCATCTGCTGGCACCATGAGAACACTTTTGGCTTTCTTAGCCATGGTGTTTCTGTACAACACCTCTCCTGATAAATAGTGCTCCAGCATGACTATGTTTGGAAACAGAGGGGCCCAGTTGTTCACATATCACTGCCTTAAAAAGTGGTAGAAGGGACAGCGGACCCCTTCAGGGTGCCAGAAGCTAGTTCTGTCAAATCAAGACCCATTGGAACAACTATAAATCTGTCAGCAGTTTAATTGTTATTTTTATCTGAATTGCTGGGAATCTTTTGCCTGAAACTACGGTGGCCCTGAAGTGCAAAACAACATTATCAAATCTTTAAACACAACTAAAAAAAAAGGAAAAAAAATGCAAAAGCATATTCAAAAACATAACTATGTATTCAAAATTGCAACATTTTCAAATAAAATGAATTCAAAAACAAAAAAACATATTAAGAAACACATTTTCGAACACACAACAGCATATACGAAAACAGAGTAACATATTAAAAAAACGCAACAACATGTTCAGAAACAAAAACAAATTAAGCTACCGGAAGACGTAGATATTAAGGGGAAACCTGAAGCCTTGCTGATTGGACCACAGCACTATTTGGCTTTTAAACCGGAAGTCATTCTGCCTTTTCTGTTAGAACTTTCAATGAGCAGGCTTACTGTAAGCAGAATGACTTCCTGTTTAAAATCCAAAAGGCGCCATCGTTCAATCAGGGAGGTCTCATGTTGCAAGCTAATGCCATTGTGTTTTTGAATATGTTGTTGCATTTTTGAAAATGTTGTTGCGTTTGTTTAATTTGTAGTTGTGTTTAAAGATTTGGTGATGTGGTTTGCACTTCAGGGCCACCATATGAAGCCTTTTTAAACAATAAAATTGGTTATGTTTTGTTTCCTTTCCCCACAGATCTTTCAGTATTTAGGAATAAGGGGCTTGTTAAGCTGTGCAGAGGTATGCTGTGCTTGGAAATCTGTCATCCAGTCTGGGGTTTTGTGGAGTCAGGTGAAAGACCCTTGCTTATATTTGCATTATTTTGCCCAACGTATTCATGACCTTTGAACTCTTTCATTTTATAACAGTGACAACCCTAAATGTCAACCTATTTAATTTGGGTTTTATGTGATAGATGTATAAAATGATTCGACCCAAACATGACAAAGGAAAATGACTCAAGATATTGTTATTTAAATAATGTTTCATGTAAACTGGCCCCTTAGATCCCCTAGAAAATAAAATCCTTCAGAAATAAAGTAATTGGTTATTAGTTTGTTATTTAACTCTCGTAAAACTCTAGCTGTTCATTGAAGAGTTAAGGGTTTAAATGAACAACAGTATGAAGGCCAAAAAGAGACCAGACAGGGATTAAGCTTTGGAGAAGTTTAAAGCAGGGCTAGGATTTATTATATACAAGATGTAAAACATTTCACAGAGCCGTGTTTAATCCATCATCCGCAAATGGAAAGAGCATGGTAAATCTATCAAGAAATGCTTGTGGCCCTAAACAGGGCAGGTAAGGATAATATCAATCAGTTGAGCTCCGAGATGCCAATGCATCTCTGGAGAAGATGTAGAGATCCAAAGCACAGCTGGCAGAATCTGTCCACACAAAAACTGCATCATTAGTAAAGCACCACAAGAATCTGGCCAAAGCAAAGCCACAAGAAGTCCTCAGTTAAATCACCAACATCCATACCACAAACATGCAATAGAATACGTAGAGGTCAGATGAGAGTAGAATTTAACTTGCATGCAAAACTATCACAGCATATCATCTTGAACACAAAATAGCTATATTGGAAACTGGCTGGGGACAGAATAATACATTGGGGAAGCTTTTCTTTAGCAGTAGCAGGGAAGCCAGTCGCTTATCAACATAGATGGTGCTAAGTATTATGCAATCCTGGAATAAAACATTTTAAAATGCTGGAAAATACTGTGCAAGACATCTCTCTTCCAGTACATGACCTTAAAGATGCAGTCAGAGCTGCTAAGTAATGGGTTGAAAAAAGTGTCAAAAAAAATCTCTGCATTAAAAATCCCCAGTTAAAGGCAAGAACAGTTTATTTTACTGAACATTTAAGCAACAAGACAATTAAAAGTGCTTTACAAGATTAAAAAATGTTTATAACCCAAATGCTTTTGTCTCTGCTAGATCAATTTGTCTGTGGAAAAATACTGGATAACAGACAGTGAAGTGCAGAAAATTCTGCTGGGCTACCGGCCTTTTGTGACCCACCTGAACCTGCGCGGCTGCACATCGTTAAATTGGTCCAGCTTAAAATATATCAGTGAGTTCTTTTTTTGGTATATATCCATATTTATGGCTTAGTTATATTATTTTTACTCATGTTATCCTCACAGGCAATGAAGTTTAAGCCAAGCTGTTCAAACAAGTCACACTAGTGCTGCCTATATCATAAATGGCAGACGATGCAGACAAAATGTAAAAGGAAAATTTAAAAAGACACTCTGCAATCTGTAGAAGATGGATTAAATGTACTAAAAAAAGTCGTAAAAAGAATCTTTATGAAAAAAAACAAAATCACGTCAGTCAGGCCAGTTTAAAGACTTGGTATTTCTGTGGTGCTCTCAGGTGGCTCGGCTCCATCTCTTCCTCTATCTCTCCTTGTAGTTCCATTGGTGTGTCCCAAAGCTCGTCATTATTTTGGTTTGGATCTGGTCTGTTGTGCTGTTTGTCCTTAGGACACTCTCTGTTATAGGCATGCATGTAGTCCTTCACTCTCACACCAACATATTCTAGAGGGGCTTGGCACAGCAGGCCAGAGTGTCTCACTCCTGGATGTAGATGTAGCCAGTAAACCATGTAGTGGATGCTTTTGGAAGAAAAAGGAAATTAGTTGTTTTTTTTTAAGACTAAAAGAGGCTTTGTAATGGCTTTTGGGGAAGCACTTACTTGTAGTCACACATCCAAGGATTTCCTTCTAGTTTTAGCTTGGACAAAAAGTACAAATCTTCAAGAACCCCATACTGAACAAAACGCAGCCCGTTGAATGACAGGTCCAGATCATGAAGGTGTAAAAGCCCAGACAGGGACCCTAGAAGATAATAGACCAGTGTTTAATAACAAGTATCACCCAGAGAAATTACTAGGCTTATCTACCATCATAGCCAAAACCAGATAAACAGATATATCTTTGTCTAGTTATTATTGCTATTCAGTGCTGTTAATCATTCATCAATAAGACATGCTGAAGCAGGGACCATTCCCCAGTTTTTCTGGAAACCAGGCAGGAAGTACAGGAATTGAACGTTCCTGGGCGTGGACCTCCTTGGAACAAATGTATGGCGCTGATTATTGATTTAAGGCTATTTTTTTTTTTGGAAAGGGCTTCAATCTATTCAAAGAGTCGTTTTTACCTTTTCCTGTAATTGTTCTGTTTTTAGTTTCCATCTACAAAATGTTGTGTTCATTTAACTAAGCAGACAATAATTTTTGTCACCTCTTTATATGTTTCACCCCATCAAAACAGCTTTTTAGTCAAGGTTCTTGTTCTTCTCAGCAACGTTAGGAAGACCCAGTCTACCAAGGTTACAGAAAGGAATGCTCTATAGACATACTGTAAAACATTTTCTGCATAATAAATAAAAAGATCTTAATGACTTATCTATATGCTGCTATTATTTTAGACAAATCCCTCTGTTATGATTCAATTGTGGTATGCATATCATGACTGATGAGGATTTCCTTTTTTCTACTAAACCTACTGGTGAATCGTTGCCCTTTATTTGCATAAGTTCTAGCTAAAGACTGTGATCAGCTGGGTTTGTTATTGTATGAAAGCTTTTACTTTGAGCACAAATCTAAAACTCCATTAGTTTGTACTGGAACCAGTGGATGTACTGGTCACCAATCATATAGTTGGAAACCCCAGTTTAGTTGGGCTTTATTGTCTTTCACAACCAAGCTCTAACTTTAGAGATATGAGTACCTTAGTGTAAGCAGCCAACAGCGTTTGTTGATGCTTAGCCGACATTTTATTCAGTTTTTACAGGACTGCGTAAAGTGTAATTTGATTTATCTGTAGAAAGTGATGCTTTATATCAGCTGCTCTATTTTTACTCCCTATCATAAATACAACTCTGACTGTGTACACATAAATGGCTGTGCGCCCACCTCTGCTCCAATATAAAAGAGGAGAAACTAGAGCTGTAGAAGTTGTTAAGCTGTTTCTTTCCTTTTTGGACCCCAGATTAAGATAAACACAACTGCACATGTGTAAGATTTCTTTCTGAGTGTTACCATGGTTATTAAACGCAGGACATGTTGTTATATTCAATAATGATGATAAATATGTGAGCAGAAATGTTAACACCAACCTGTGTCAATTCGCTCCATGTTGTTGTTGCTTAGGTTAAGGATTCTGAGACTCCTTGCTGCGTGGAAATCTCTGGGTTTAAGGTGCTTGATTGAATTATAGGACAGATCTACCTTGACAACATCCTCTGGAATACCTGAGGGCACCTCAGTTAGACCTAAGGACAGAGAGGAAGGGCTGGCTGAGTTACTACAAGCACAACTTTCACCTCATATTCACCTGCAGAAGAATTGTTAAGTTAAAGGGAGTTCCATGTTTTTGTTGGTTGTAGAAGAGACGAGCCGCAGCTTCAAAAAATCTAGAACTCCTGCAGGGGAAGACGGAACATATTAACACAAATCTGATTTATTCTATTTATAGGGAAAAAGTAAATATTTTCATACTAACAAGCAGGCTAACACTCTAGCTGAAGCTTTTGCCATATAAGGTGACCATAAATTGATATTAATCAGAGTTTAAAGGAGCAAATGACTCAGCACTGAAATGAAGACAAGTGCCAAACCAGATGTGAAGGGGTTCATTTATGTTTCAGCATTAAAAGCTTTAGAAAAATGTACGTTCAGCCTTTTCTAGCAATGCAACAGCAATAATTAATCATCTGCACTCTGACAAGTTTGTATTTTTTCTTAACCACTCTGTTGCATAAGACCATATGTTGTGGATTACAGAACCCGATTAAGGCGTCAGGGTACAGAGCTGTTAATCAAAATGATCCTTGGAAATGAAGCCTGGTGTTGAACTTGCCTCGGTTTCTGCAATCCATCCATCTGAGGGGGAAAATGTAGGTGTGGCAGAGCAAGGTAGCGTCTGATTTGCCACGGATATGACTGGGCTCTATAGGGTACGTTACGTTGACGTTTGGGTCCCCTGTTGGGTCTGTTGGATCTAATTCCTCACAGAGTAACTCAGGATCAATCTGCTTCAGCTTCCTGTTCTGAAGACTGGCGGGCTCTGCACACCTAGAAGATGAAATTTATTGATGTTAAACATTAATCAGTTTTCCTGATATTAAATATTTGGTGACATCATTTACTTGGCATGGTTTCCCAGATTTCGGTTGCTTGGGACCTGAATAGTACGTATGAGACTTTCCATCGGACAGAGACATTTCCAAGGATTGTCGTACAAACGCAGATAGCGAAGGTTTGGCATTGGGATGAGGGCCTCTTCACTGAGCGTTCTTAGTTGATTGTGTTGCAGCAAAAGGGTCTCCAGATGTATGAGGCCCTGAAAAGCCCCTTCCTCCACCTGAGAGATCTGATTCTGTTGAAGATCCAGACTGCTTAAACTTTCATATCCAAGAAAGGATCCCTCATGGAGAGATTTAATTTTGTTCCGGGCCAGAAGGAGGTGCTTTGGTACTCTGGACCAGGTACTTGAGCTAGGGACAGAAGTGAGACGTTGGTCCTGACAATCCACATATGCTTCTCTGGACAGCATTATCTCTGAACAGCTTGGTGTTGCATCTCCAGAAGGACCTGATCTGCTCTGACGCCTCAGAGCCTTCCTTCCTAACCTTTAAGAAAGGACACAAAAAGCATTGCTTCCCATTATTTGTACTTAAACAATGAAGTAAAAAAAAAAAAACATATTTGAGAAATATACACAACCATACAGTGTTGTAAAACATATTTACAAATCTCAGATTACTTGCTTTTGGCTTCTCACTTTTCTGATCATTAGACAATCTTTTAATTGTAAAATAAAAGAGCCTGGCCTAACAACCTAATGATCCAACAAAGCAACACACCATATCTGAATTAAAAGAAATTTCTTGAAAATAAACAAAAACTAAGTTTTTGTTTATTTTACATATATCAATCTGGAGCGGATTACAGGATAATCTCTACAAGTTTTGGACTGCAGTGAAACAGAGTGAGAGCCCTTATCCACAAATGGAGAAAAAATGAAATGGCAGGAAAGATTTCCACGTGTCCCCTGTCTAGCATCATTTCTCAGAGAACACACTGATGACTACTTCAGCAGGCCAAAACAGCCTGGAACATCATCTACAGAACTTTTGGCCTCCTGGGCCCCAGTTAAAGCCAATGTTCAAACCTAAAAAAGAAAATACAGCTGCACAAAAATAATGTAATGTCCCTTCTTAGGTTCCCATAAAATATCTTGTGATTCTTGAGACTATTGGGGACTGTACTGTTGATAGACTTTGATAAAGTCAAACATTTCCTCTGTTTGATATCTGAGTTTAAATGTCTCAGATCTTTAGAAAAAAATTTTTTAAATCAAAGCAAGAGTTAAATTTGGTCTAATGTTCCAGGGCCACTTTGCTTCTCCAGAACCAGAAAAATCATGATGAAGAATCTCTAGCCATCAGTTTATGAGCGTAAATGGGCGAGCATTTAGGCAATGCATGTAAGACAGTAATTCAAAGCAAGTCCATCCTGGAGTGCCCTAAAAATCAAACTAAAAGCTTGCAAAAAGTTGGTGGGGAAATGTGAATAGGGCAACTCTGAACAAAGAGTTTGGATCAAAGCACACTGATTTGTTGAAATGGTGAGTCTAAATCAGAACATAAATGCAAATCTGTTACAACGTGAAACAAAGTAGGTTCTAAGACACTATTTCCTCCAAGTTCAGTGGTTTTTGAAATAAAAAGGGGGTTCAAAATCTCTTTATAGTTTCAAATCACATTCTCAAGTAAACCTGATATGCTGGGAAGCCCTCATTCGTAATCTTTGGAAATAGACACAAACAAACCGGAGCTTGTTGTTTTTGTAGATCAATACTTAAGATTCTGGAAATGAATTGCAAATAGAACTGAATCCATACCTGTCCCGTGTAAGTTTCTGTCTCGCATGTTTAATGCCTCTGCCTCTTCCTGGTTTTTTCAACTCAACGGATGGAAGCAACAAGAGAGCAACAAAGGTTAAAAGGAGAGGGGAGATCAGACGCATCCTGAACACTGTTTTCACAAACAGGAGCTCAGATTAAAGCAGGAATCTGTGATGAAAGTCCTCACTCTGCTGTCTAAGAGGCAGCTGTGTTGATTTTGATGTCACAAAGCTTCTGTTTACACTGCGGAAAAAAACAAATTCAAGTCATCACATCATAAGAAGAATATTTTTTTTAACATGAATTGTATGCAGGTTTAATATAAAACAGATTATCGTGAATAAATACAAAATGAGTGTAACAAGCCTTCCAATTTGTTTGTTTAGGTGAATGCAGAAACCTACAGGAACTCAACATGTCAGAGTGCTTAACTATTTCTGTAAGTAGAATATTTTACATTTAGACAAAAAAAACAAAACTGTTTTAGAAGTTTTTTTTTGGCTACAATGTTGATCATGTTGATTTAACTGCATCCTTTAAATCATGGATAATTGGCTGGATTTCTGGAAATCATGCACCACCCATTCCTCATTCTAGTCATAACCATTAGTCATATGTCACATACTGTTGGAAATGTGTACTTTTTAATGTTACGGGATGCAATAGGAAAGAAAAGTCTTGTAATACTCTAAGTAAAAGTCTTGTTAAAGCAGAGGTTTTAAAGAAACCTTAGGAAATACTTTAACTCACGACGTTCTCATTATATCTCCTCTGCTAGCAGTCATCAGCCAGATACGAGTAAAAATTATGGTTTCCAATTAGAAACATTTATCAATCACACCATTTATATGGTTTGAAGTCTTTACAGTTAAGTAACAGGTTAAACTTTGTGAGTTTTCACAGTACTGCCCTATCCGACCTGTTGCTGTGCACTGCTAGTCAGCTGACTGAAAGAAGGCCTCCAAGCTTTTCTTAACCTCCTAGCTCTGCCCAACCTGACAAATATAATACTGCAGATCTGATGATAGGATATTAAAATGGATTGTCAACGTTTAGCCTAAGTTGACCAAGTACTAGGCATACTTATGAACCACCTTAGGCTGCCCATCCTGATCACATCCCTACAGGTATCACAGTTGTCGCCCACATGCACATTTTCTCCCAGAAGTGTCACTGAATCCTTTGGTAAAGACCCTGTCAGGACACCATTCTGCCAGAATGGTGTCCTGACAGAACCTCCTTCAGACACAAAGAACTCACACTCAAAATCGAGGCACTTAGCTGGGGGATTCTGGGTACCCCCACCTTAGCCTGATGCCTCTTTCTTGGGTAACTAAGTAAGAGAGAGTCCACCCCTTTCCAGGAGCTGTGCGAAGGGGTAAATCCAACTATTCCTATCTGATACCGCTTGACCTTACACATTATCTCTGGCTCTTAACCCACTCATTGAATGACAATAATGTTCCAACAGCCACATTTTCTGCAAGGAAAGGCCACTTCCCCTGCCTACCACCCACCATACCTGGCAGCTGATCCAAGCATTCCACTGTAAATAGTGGGCCTACGTACAGTAAATGGGTTCTTAGCCCATCTGAGCCAGATGAGCTTCTTTCCCAGGCCTGGTTTCAGGAGGGATCCTAGATATCTTTAATCTAGGTATAGTTTACCTCTTGTGGTTGTTAGCCATATCATTATCATCCTTGAATCCTTGGTCTGACTCGCTACCTGAGGTCAGTTTGCCCCAGGAGACCATACAAAGAGCTAAAGCTCTGGACAATTTAGCCCACATTACATAAAACCTCCACTACATAGAGGTTAGATTAAGCAGAGGGTATTTAGTATTCTTACAGTAAAGCAGTTCCATTATTTTTTTCACCTTTTTTAGGGTGATGTTTTTGAGTTTTACTTATAGTGTAACTCAACCCTGGCTATAAGTCGGTTTAGTGGAGTGAGGCTGGGGAAAAGATAAAAAGAGCTTTCTGAGCAAAGTATTATTCAGCCTCTCTCATCAATGGAGGTTACAGAACTAAATAAGTTTTACATAAAAATGCTAAGCAAATGCACAGTAACCTTGTACAACCAGTTGATGCAGTTTCAACACAAAAAAGTGAGTTTAGGGGTGAGTTACACTTTAAGGTTATCAAACTAGTCTTGCATCAGAAGCTGTTTCTTTCACACAGACGAAGTATTGGACTACATTAAAAAAAAAAAAAACAAAGATGAAATTTCATAGTAAACAACTTGCATTTTCTAATGAGAAATAAAACATGTAAAAGATTCTTTGTGGTGTTCTGGCAACTTTGACTTTTGTATTCAACATTGCTCTTCGACAGGATATAATGATTCACAGAATCAGTGAAGGATGTGGATGCCTGCTCTATCTGAACCTGTCTTCCACACTAGTAACAAACCTCTCTTTGGAGGCAATATTCAGGTAAATCTTATAGGGAATTATTTAAACAATTAATAATAATAAATTCCTTAATTTCCGGAGGGAGTCTTCCCAAGGGATCAATAAAGTTCTGTCTAAATAAAACACTAGTAAAACTGTATTAACTATCACACTACATCATGTCTTGTTTTTGTTACATAGAGAATAGTCTTTACTACCACATTACCATAACAAGAACAGAAAAGTATTTTTTTTTTTCTCTACTAGGAATTGTCCAAACCTTCAGTACCTGAGTCTGGCGTATTGTCGCAGATTCACAGACGAAGGATTCCTGTACCTGAGCACAGGCAAAGGCGCTCCGAATCTCATCCACCTCAACCTATCCGAATGCACTCAGGTTGTTCTTTTCAGTCCTTTTGCCTTGGTTTGTATTCATTATAATTTACTCCTTGAGTCAGTTTCGAACAAATGCATCCGCTCTTCTGGTTGCACGCATCTGGTCTTTTTTCTGTCTTTACTCTGGGGTGCCTCAGAGTGAATGGGGGAAGGTTTCACAGTCTTGGAGAGTTAAAAACATCTGAGGCCAATAGAGGGGTTGGGTTAACATCCACCCTCTCACTTTGTACACTGTGTAACATAGCACTGCTTTAGGGGTGAGAGTAGTTGTGGTCCAGATGTTTAGTTTGTCTTTATCAGCTCATAAGAATGCAAATAATGATTAAAAAAGACAGATGAAAACATAGACCCAGAGACTCCTCCTTATTTTCCTCCAGATGACAGTGAATGGGTTCAGATACATTTCAGCAGGATGCCCATCTCTGAGAGAGATTGTGATCAATGACATGCCAACTCTGTCAGACTCCTGTGTTTTGGTAAGTGTTTATTTCCACAACATGTAAAATACAAAGTAAACAGAATGTTATGGAGCATCAAACCAAAAAAAAAAAAAAACACGCTTCGTTACTAAGTATTCATACCTCCTTTAACCTTTTTAACTGTTTTCAAATCTGTCACATAGACCATAACTTGTGTGTTTGTGTAAAGCTCAAGCTCAGTCTTCTGGCCACAGCCAGGTGTTTCACATGTGTTTGTCTTCTACATGGCATATTTCTGCCAAAGACGGCATGAATCTCTTTATAGCTTTTTAAAATCTCTGCTCTCATTACCCCGTCTGTCAGTTTAAGGGGAAAACCATGTTCTGTGTAGGTTTGTAGTTGTGATATACTCTCTTCTTTATCACATGGTTCATTGAGAAGTTCTCTGTCAGAAAGTCAAAATATTTATGAACTGACCCTTGAATTTTTCCATTTCATCCCGGACCTTTTTGTGTTTCTTGGTCTTTGTGACTGTGTGTTCACAGAGTTTTTCTAAACATCAATGATACCTTCAGGTAACACCTATATGTATAATAAAAAGCTATATAGTGCAGGGTTTTTGCACAGTTTTTTAAAACACCTGTGTATGTGCATGTAAAAAAAAAAGAAAAATGCACCTACACAACCCTGTACCGGCTCCCGAGAGGGAACGCCTATTAAACGTGCGCAAGAACATGCACAAGCTCATTTCTCCTCATGCACGCTCTGTTTAAAAGTTGCTGTTTGCATCATTCATACAAGCTTACTTTCCAGAAGAAGATTTGCAATTTTTCCACTACGTCAGACTCACCACCGGTGTTATGCCGAGAAACACCTGCCTGCCGAGAATTTCCTACCATGTTGTGGGAGCGTGAATCACCCTAAACTCTTGCACATTGTTGAGACAATGGATTGAAATATGAACAAAACAGGAACTTTTAAACATATTCTTAATGTTTTGTCAGAAATTATATAGAATGGTGTTAAGGGCCAAAGCAGGAAATGCTATCCACTGAGCAGAGAATATATTCATTGAACACTGACTGTAGCACATTGGCTAAAACATTTCTTCATAAAAAATTTACTCATTCGAATTTATCTGTCTACCAGAACTCTCCATTTCAGGGCATCCATGCATAAGAAATATGAAAATAATAACAATAAGTTTAAAACTTCCCTTTTCATTGTTATTTCAATCCGTTTTCTCATCAGTATGTGAGAGGGGAAGTAATTCTCGGCAGAACAGTCGTAAGTAGAAATGGGGACGAGCATGTAGGACGGCAGAATGATTGATAATTAAGAGGACCAATTATTTTGATGATCCACCCGGAAAAAGAACATCCTCTACTATACAATGTTAATTTTATTTCAGAGTTTTAGAGTAAATGAGGCCGAAAACGAAATGAATGCTGCGCCTTTTCTTTATACTTTAAAAACCACGTCTTATTTGTTTTCCACATCACAATGGTGTAATACTTTGTGTTGATCATGGAAACTGCATCAAATTTGAGTCTGTAATGTAATGAATAAGTCAAGGGTGTGTATGTTTTTGCAAAGTGAAGTACAAGTGAAATAATATTGCACCCTTTCTTTTGTTGAACAGGCCCTGCTTACCAGATGTTACTCTCTCTCTTCCATCTCACTCCTGGGCTGTTCTCATCTTTCTGATGTTGCTTTTAAAGCCATTGTGGACGCCGCCAAGCTAAAGGCTTTCATCATAGAGGGTGAGACCTTTTTTCATTCTGCAACCTTTCCCTTCCCTCATCATGCATGGAAATTAAGCACTGATTCAGGTCTTTGTTAATTCGTACTTAGGCAACAACCAAATAAGTGATGTCAGCTGGAAAGTACTGTGCAGCCACTCACAAGGTCTTCTCAGACTCCACGCCGCAGACTGTCTGGGAATGACGGATAATAGCCTGAGATATGTGGCCAGCCTCAAAAACCTAAAATATCTGGACATTTCCCTTAGCAGCAGGTAGGTCGGGGGTTGTGTTGGCTTAATTTGCATCACTGCTTCATATTTCATACTTTCAAGAATCTGTTTCAGTGTGAGTGATGCTGGAATCAAGTACCTGACTGACAAGGCCTCAACAAATCAACTGCATTACCTCAGCATCAGTCAGTGCTGCCTCATTACAGATGTCTCTGTCAGGAGGATTGCTCAAAGGTACTTCTCTTTATCAGCCTAATTATTTTCACACAGAGCTATCAAAACGTATATAAAAAGATAAGCTGTAGCATTCTTGTGTTTGGAAAAAATGTAGGTATCCTAAACTGTACCATCTTAATCTGAGTTACTGTGAGAGGCTGACGGATGCGGCTGTGAAGTGGCTGAGTGGAAGCTCCATCTGCTCTCTTGACATAAGTGGCTGCAACATCCAGGATCAGGTACTGATGCATATTGCTAGCTTCTATTCTCACTTACAACAGTGTTTGCATTTTCAGGGACTCACTGGGCTTCAGGGAACCCTTCTAAAGAAGGTTGTACTTGCCGAGTGCTTAGAGATCACAGATATTGGCATTGAGGTACACATTTTTCCCCATATGGCCAGCTGTTGGTGGTTCTAGTCATCTTTGAAACATATGTGATAGGAAATATATAAATCAATCCTCTTTCAGATTTTTTTCTTTTCATGTATTCATTTAAAATGTATTGCTCTAAAGATAGCTTTTAGTCATATTTTTTTGTTTACATTTTGGACAGGCGATGTGCAAGAATGCAAGAGGCTTGGAGCACATAGACGTCTCTTACTGTGCAGCTTTGACTGATGCCGCCATCAGAGCCGCTTCATTTTACTGCAGATGTCTGCTCACTCTGAAGATGTCAGGGTGTCCAAAGGTTCGGATTGTATATATTTAAGTAATTAAGTTTCTTTTGTTTTTGCTTATTTGTTGAATTTCATTTTTCTGATTAGAAATGTTTGATTAAATATGAACTATTTAACATGGTTAAGATATTCCAACAGTGTCTCATTTTGATTTAAATCTGAACCCTGAATAGGGCCAAATGTGGATTTGTTGATGTGCTTTGCAGAACCTAAAACTGTTTAACCCCAAGTTTGTGAACATAAAGGCTGGGCAATATCCTCCAGGAGTTTCAAGATGAGAGAGCAGAAATTTGTGTTTTCATAAAGTACAAGTTTTCCAGGTTCTGAAAAAGCAAAGCATTTCCATACTTTCAATCTCTTCTCACCATATTTGATTGTGCTAAAATGTTATTATAAAGGAGTTTAAAAAAAGTTTACCTTTTAAACACTTTCCCTCTTTCTTGTCAGCCCAATGTTATAAATTAATCAGTACCCCATGAAGATGGTATGTATGTATGCTTTATGGTCAGCCATTTTTGTCCTAGTTCCATTTTTGAGTAGTTTCTCTTCCTGATGAACCATGAACATCAGCCATACAGCAGGGGTGTCAAACTGGTTCCAGAAAGGGCCGTGTGGCTGCAGGTTTTCTTTCCAACCAAACATAGCACACGAGACTCCATTCATCTCATCAAGTCTTCATGTTCAGATTGGACTCACTTACTGAGATGGCTGGAGTCTGGTGTGCTATTGCTTGGTTGGAAAGAAAACCTGCAGCCACACGACCCTTTCTGGAACCAGTTTGACATCCCTGCCATACAGGCTTCTGATTATGTGGGCTCTGTGACAGTCAGAATAGGTCCCTTGTATATGTTTAGAAAAAAACAGCTTCAAGGTAAAATGTGTTAATTCAATTTGCAGTGCCTTGCTAGAGTATTGTAATGTAAATGTAAATTATTTTCCCACAGTGGGGAAATTTACTCTCTGCATTTAACCCATCCCCTTGGAGAGCAGTGGACTGCCATTGTGCGGCCCCCGGGGAGCAGTCTGGGGTTAAGGGTCTTGCTCAGGGATCCAGAGTGGCAGTCTTGTGGGAATGAGTGGAACATGAACTCAGAACCTACAGGACCCAAGCTCAGTGCTCTGACCACTAAGCCGTCAGAAAATATGACATTTTAAATATTTTTGTGACAAATCAACAAAAAATGAAGTGGAACTAAATTTATTGGATATTTTAATATTTTTTAACAAATATTTAATCCATCCATCCTTCCTTCCTTCCTTGCTTGCGGACCCAGAGTGGCAGTCTGTGGGTCCGTCCGTCCGTCCGTCCGTCCATCCATCCATCCATCCATCCATCCATCCATCCATCCATATATCTGGGGACGGGTCGCGGGGGTAGCAGCTTCAGTAGGTAGGCCCAGACGTCCCTCTCCCCAGCCACTTGGGCCACTTTCTCTGGGGGAACCCCAAGGCACTCCCAGGCCAACCGAGAAACATAGTCCCTCCAGCGTGTCCTGGGTCTCCCCCTTGGCCTCCTTCCGGTGGGATGTGCCCGGAACAGCTCACCAGGGAAATGCCCAGGAGGCATCCTAGCCAGATGCCCGAGCCACCTCAATTGGCTTCTCCCCGGAGGACTGAGCTCCTCACCCTATCTCTAAGGGAGAGCCCAGACACAGTAAGGAGAAAACTCATTTAATCGGGATCTCGTTCTTTCGGTCATGACCCAAAGCTCATGACCATAGATGAGAGTGGGAACGTAGATTGACTGGTAAATCGAGAGCTTTGCGTTTTGGCTTAGCTCTCTCTCCACCACAACAGACTGGTAAAGCGCACGCTTCACAGCAGACGCTGTACCAATCCGCCTATCGATCTCCTGCTCCATCTTCCCCTCATTCGTGAACAAGATCCCAAGATACTTAAACTCCTCCACAAGGGGCAATATATCCTCCCCAACCCGGAGAAGGCACTCTACCCTTTTCCGGCTTCAAGACCACGGTCTCGGATTTGGAGGCACTGATCCTTATCCTGGCCGCTTTACACTCGGCTGCGAACCCTCCCAGTGAGAGCTGTAGATCATGCCCTGATGAATGCCATCATCTGTGAATAACAGAGATGTGATCCTAAGTCCACCAAAATGGATGCCCTCAACACCTTGGCTGCGCCTAGAATTTCTGCCCAAGTTATCAACAGAATCTGTAACAAAGGGCACCTTGGCGGAGTCCAACCCTCGCAGGAAAGGAGGCCGACTTACTGCCAGCAATGTGTACCAGACTCTGACACCAGTCATACAGAGACCTAACAGCCCTTATTAAAGGGCCAGGTACTCCATACTCCCGGAGTACCCCCCACAGGACTCCCCAAGGGACATGGTCGAATGCCTTCTCCAGATCCACAAAACACATGTAGACTGGTTGGGAAAACTCCCATGCACCCTCCAGGGTCCTGCTGAGGGTGTAGAGCTGATCCAGTGTTCCAAGGCCAGGACGAAAACCACACTGCCCCTCCTTAAACTGAGATTTGACTATCCGACGAACCCTCCTTTCCAGTATCCCGGAAAAGACCTTAAGCCTGATTTATGCTCTGAAACTAGGTCGTCTGCAGGTGTGTCACAGTTAACGCAGATATGCCCGCCCTTCCGCAGACACTCTGGTGCACCTCCCCAAAATTTTAGGTGACCTCAGACAGTGGCGCAGATAGCGTCACAGGGAGGAGAGAAAGGAGGCCTCTGATTGGTCAATTCTACATCCGCTCTACACTATGTGTATTTTCTGTTTGATACCTAATGGCAGAAACTCTGGCTGTAGTGCCGTCCCCAATGCCTGGCACACCTTGGACACTATCCCAGACTCCATACAGGACGGTGTAGATGGCAAACAAGCTCGTCATACCGACACACGGACAGCCACAATCCTAGCTAGTTTGTGATTGTCCCTCTTGTGTTGTGGTATGGCACAGACCACACTTCAGAATTGGGCATAAAGCAAAAATTATCTGTGTCATACCTGCAACAAGCTAACTGCAACACACACTGCTGCAGGCGTATACACAGCCCTTTACCAGGGAGGCTTAAGAGTGTGATTCTCCTGAAGTTGAAACATACCCTCCAGTCCCTTTTTTAAATGGCTGCTTTCCACTTCCAGGAAATCATCATTTGAGTGTCTACTTGAGTTATCTTTGCTATTATGACTAGTTTGATCCGAATGTGTTGGGGGAGCAAAAGCAAAGTTACTCTGGAAGGGGCAGTTACTTTTTCAGCCTACTCCACATGCTCACTAAATATTAGATATGATTTTACTTAAGACAAAATTTTACTAAAGTCACATATGTCCTTTATCCTCAGGTTACGGATATGGCAGTGCAGTTTCTGACCAGTGGGTCCCTGTACCTACAAGAACTCGACATAAGTGGCTGCATTCTCCTCACTGATCGCTCTCTTCGACACTTAAAAAAAATCTGTCCTCCATTGACCTCCATCAGAATGAACTTCTGCAGCAGCATCTCATGGTACATCAAAGGTTAACTCATGTAGTGTACAATCTATACAGGAGCTTTTTAAACACTAAATTATATTTTTTTTATCCTCAGGGCAGCTGCCTTAAAGCTGCAGACGTGCGTATCACACTGGGAGTACAGCAAGGACAGCCCCCCATTTGGTTTGAGCACAACGCAAACAAGTAGCAATGAATTCAAAGGCAGCTTATACATGGAAGGCTGAGGAGATACATTCTGCAATGAGGTAAAAGGCTTATACATCTACAGAGATCTAAATGGCTCAAAATCCAATGTAAAAGAAAAACCTGACGGATTATTTTTTAAGCAGAGGTCTCAAACTAGTCCTCAAGGGTCACCATCCTGTTAATTCTTTAGATACATACTTAGACCAACCCACTCAAAGAGGATGCCCAAACTGCTTCATTAAAAGAAAACCAAGCTCCTTCAAGAGTCCTGCAAATGACATTTTTTACTGATTTGGGTGTAGAAAAGGTGAGCTGCAACTAACAGCTGCAGAACATCAGCCCTAGAGGACTGTAGTTTATGGCCCCACGGCTTTTTTAACTTTTCACCTCTTTAAAAACTTTGTCACTGGAGCCTGCAAAGGTAGTTCAGCCATATTGTTGCTTTTCAGAATGGTTTATGGACCTATTCACAAACTTAATTTATTGTCATTCAGAGAAACTGATTACTGATTTAAATAAGGAAAAACATGTATTAATGCTATTTAACAGTGTATGGCAACAATTAAATCAGTATACAATGTACCACACACACCGATTGAGCTTAAGTATTAATGCTGCAATAAAAAGACCTTTGTTGTATTTATTTTAAAGTAGTTGATTTGGTGAAAATTTATTTTATTTACAGTTGTTTGAAGTTTTTTTTCCCCCTTCCTTTGCTAAATATATAAACTAATTTTTACATCTGAGATAATTTCATTACAAAATAATATTTATTTGGGCTCTTTATATGTCCTTGCAGGGATTTCAACAACTGTGCATTGGAGGCTAAGGTTATAATACAAGAGCAAAGTGCACTTTGTAAAAGAAATTATGAAATAATTTTTTTTTCTAAAACTGTAACTGGTTCTTTAAGACTTGATGATGCTGATTATAAAAAGGAGTTTGACATCCTGTAACGTATTGTGACTCTATAACACACAGTTTCCACACAAATAACAAGAGAAAGCTGTTTAACATTTATTATGTGTGGGACCTTAACTCCACTAAGGTGACATTACACATAAAAATTCAAAAGATACTTTAAATAAAAATTCATTTTCCTGAGCTATTTACAGTGCAGTGTGGATAACATTTAGCTGAAAGCGCTGTAATAATAACTGTAGCGTCCTCAGAACATTACGATACATCCTGTCACTTAGCTCCCGAGCTTCAGGGACTCAAACCAGCTCTGTGTCGTCAGTTTGATGGAGCCTCTTTCTGCGCGAGCTTTGACCCACTGGTCAACAGGTGGTTCTCCATTCATATAGCCTGGAATGATAATATTCATGTCACGTTTCCTTTACTGGTTGGATGTTTTCCGTTTTTTATTATGAAAAGAGGAAACGATGAGCCCACCTGTCAGTGTGATCTGACCATCAGAGGCATTTCTTTCTTCCTCATGCAGAAGAACCTCTGAGCTGATGTCCACCGACGCTCCACACAGATTGACACCAGCTCTTAATGAAGGTGGGACACGCACACTCACCGCCCCTACATCAGACAGAGATTAATCAAGAAAACGGGAAGAACTGAGCTGCAGTTACATGAGTTATGTCCTCAACCTTCTTACCGTCTTGACTGTGGAGCTCAGCTGTACCGCTGTCTCCCACATAGACGTCGATGCTTCCACTGATGGAGGAAACCTTCAGGGAGCTGTTTGAACCATCTGCAGAAGAAAAGAAACCCCTCATGCTTTGAAGGAAACCATACATGGGTCGCTGTGCAGTTAGCTGGCCTGCTTACCAACCACCGTATCTCCAGACTCGTTACTCACTGTGGTGTTACCTTTAATGAATAATAAAAAAAAAAGAGACAGAAATAGATCACTTTTGGTTTTTATATCTTCATTGTGATAAAAAAAAATCTTTAAGGTTTAAAGTTACAGGGTCATTTGTATATGGAAGAAATTAAAATTCTTAAGAAGGGACACTTCTTTTTCTTGCGTTCATTCCAGGTTTGTTTTCCTTTAAGATCAAAGTGTAATCTTTTACAACTAGCTCGCCTTTATAGACGTCTCAGAAACAAATACTTGGAAGGTATGTGATAAATTGAGACCACATTGCTTTTAATCAACTGTGACTGAACCTGAGCCCGAGATTCCTTATGGATCAGCTTTACCAAGAGGCTTAATGTAAAGCAGCTGTGGACCAGGATGAACTAAAAGGTCCTAAAAGATTCAGCTGTTGATGTGAAGAGGAGTTCAAGTCTTAGTTTAGTCCCACACATTTATTGAAGGGTTTTATCTGATAGATGAAGCATATGGAAATATGGTGGCATTATTTAGAAACTTTGATACACGTAGATCAGGCATCCCTAAACTCGGCCCTCGAGGACCGAGTTTGGGGATGCCTGTAGATGAATACCACCGTGACCATTGGGTGTTTATAGTAATTCGATTTCTCCCATGTTAAATAAAATATCAGTAAAAACACAGGGTCAAAGGTGACTCAATCCACGCTGCATGATTTAGGTTCTTGCCATCTGCCTACACCTACAACAACGCAATAATGTTTGAGAGATTTCATCAGAACATGTTGGCATTTGGAGGAGGTAATGCCATCATTTAAACCAGGTGCACTAAAGGAGAGGCATCTATAAGATGAACCGTAGAACCACGAGGACAGGGAACCCCCGTGTAAAAGGCCACCAGTTAAGACCAGTAAACAGGCCTGACAGAGAAGCAGAGTTAGGTTATTAAACAATATTCTCAGTCCCGAACATCATCTGGAGATTTATCCTTCAATTTATTATATGAAGATGGATCCAGTATGGTATGACTGCAGGGATACCGTGACATGGCTGTACACCTTCACGAAGTTTAATAAGAGCTTTGGTCACATGAAACCAAGAGTGAACCATCCCCACTGTGAAACTCAGCAGTGGCAACATCATGACATGGGAGGTCTTTTTTCCTTCTTCTTAAAAAGAGGGACATATAAACAGATTAGGGCTTAAACAATTAAACAGATTAATTGTGATTAATCGATTAAAATAACTGTCAACTGATTTTGTAATTGATTAATCGTTAACTGGAGTATAGAGAATGTAAAATATGTCTTTAGCTGATAGAGTAAAACTTTTAACAGTAATGTCAAAATTGTAAAAAAAAAAAAACATTTTCATTTAGGATGAAAAAAGGGTTTCGTCCGTAAATATGCTCCATTCAGAACTAAGTGGAAAAGTTTTAAGATTCACCTGGTTTCAAAATCTTCCTTATGGAAACTTTTGCTATCCGAATAATCGAAAAAATCATCGAATTAATAATCGATTTGCATAATCGTCATTAGTTGCAGCCCTAAAACAGATCAGAGTTGATTGGAATATAGCTGCGCTACAAGCAGGGCTCTGAAGGAGAAAACACCTGCAGAAGACTTGAGACTACTGTACCAGTGAAAAGAATTGCAGAGATAAAGTTCAGAGCCACATCCTGCTTAGAATCTGTGATAAGGCTTTACAATTTCTGATCAGAGTTGCTTTCAATCAAATCTGACCCAGCTTGAACAGTCTCTACAAGTATTAGGCTGATGAAGACAAAACTGTAAAAGACTTACAATAAAGGGTGGTTCTACAAAGCAGTAGCAAATGCTGTTTAGTTGCAGATAATACCTTCTAGGGTATGGGTCTTCAATGTTTTCCAGGGCAAGGACCCCAAACTAATGGTGAGATGGAGCAGGGACCCCCTAATTATATATATTGTATGAAATTGTGTTATATCAAACTGGTCCTATAGTCTCTCTGTTACAGATGGAGTCATGTAACGAAAGTAATTTCTCCCTGGAATTATTAAAGTATATCTGATTCTGATTCCTCATAGATGGCACAGGTGTTGTGAATGAAACGGTGCACAGCTTGAAAGAGCTCATGTGTGTCGACATATGTGTTCATTCATGACTGCAAGACATCTTTTGCATCCATTTATCTGTTTACCACAGTGTGTTGAATTCATGTCACAGTGTATTTAAAGACATTTTAATTAGTGTAAAAAATTGCAGGGGGAATATAAAAAAAAAAGTCTAATCAACCAAAGCTTTCGCGACCCCCATGCAGTACTTAAGTGTACCCCCTAGGGGTGATGGACCCCCTGTTGAAGACCTCCATTTTAAGCCATCTAATGTAGCCAATGTTAAAAAGAATAAGAAAATAAATACATCAAATAAAAATGTATTTTTTTATTGTGTCCTGGAAGGAATTATGGGTATTGGCTGTATAAAAGAGTATTTATCTTGCTCAACGTTCTGAACTGAAATCTGGTCAGTTAAAGAAATCCTGTTCAAAGATCCAAAACTTCCTCCTCCAACTTGAATTTTAAGCAGGATTTTCACACATCTAAATCTTTCTTGGTAAACCTCTAATTTATGAATTCATTGCAAATATTTGAAGTTTTTAGTCACAGAACAGAATCAAACACAGTAAGGTGTTTTTTCCCCCTTAAGTATAGTTATCATTTACTTTTATAGGGGTGCGAGTTATTTTCTTACCATGTACATGACCCAGTTCTACTCTTCCAGAGCGGGAGGAAACACAGCTGGACTCTGCATAGATGGCTTTAACTTTCAAAGCACCACGCTCTGTAGAAACATTCATTCTTGTGCCCTGGAGCTTCTTGATATCCACCACCTGTAAAATAAGACATCTAATGACTACACATGTAAACACATCCCTCTGCAGATCAGAATACCCAACATGTAACTCAGTCTAGCTGATAGCTGGAATAGTTACCCGCTGCCCCCTAAAGGCTGCTGTGAATAAGACAACAGAGAGAAATTCTGTCCTACTTACACCATCTCCCTTTGCTTGGATGTCCACATTACCATGGATGGTGCCTACACCTGTAACATGTCCACCCTGGGACTGCACTTCCACTTGATGACCCTGAAATGGGACAGCATTAAGAAATGAGAAGTTAACCGGCAAATGCTTTCACTCATTTAAGATTGGTACTAATGAATGATAGTACAACTGATCCAAAATAAACCTTAGATAAAATCTGTTATTATATGTAAATTTAAAACAGTTGTTATAAGCTCATTTGCACACTGGAAATAGCAATAAAAAAAACTTATCAGAAACAATTCAGAATGAAGTCAGATGTATTTCTGTTTTTATCATTCTTAAGGAGATAAATAGAACTAAAAAGTTGAAAATCAAGAATTTAAAGTGAACAGATAAAATAGATTTTTTTTTCAAAAATTAAATTTGTAATTTCATACTAAATTTGAAGAAGAAAGAAAACGTTTAGCTGTTTTTTTTTTTTTGTTTTTTTTTTTTTATCTTTCTTCCACCAGAAATAGGCCAAAAACTTTAATCTTTAATGTTTACAAATTTCCAGATGGATTGCTACACTAAGTAAAGACTTAACAAACACATTGGACTGACATCAGCCCATCACATGACTCCTCAAATCATCGCTATGGAAACCACACTAAATCTCTGTACCCTATAATGTTCTTGTAGATACGCGTGTTTGTCTATAGAATTATTATGTGCTTCTCTGCCCTTCTCCGGACTTTAGGACCTAGATTCAGTCGTGGATCTGGAAGATTTTCATAGGGGTGGCCAGACAGGGGCCAATTAGCACAGAGGCATAGAGAATAATTGACTGGCACCAAAACTAATTTAAGGTAATCTATATTGATTACAATGAACCAACAGGAAGATGAATGATACACAATATCTATGTTTTAAAAATAAGTCATTGAAAACAAACCAGATTTTCATGGCCCTCCATAATGAAACTTAAAAATATTTATATATTGGTGCTGTTTAAATGAATCAATGGTTCTACATA